ACAAATCTGACTGTCGCCTGATGAAGCTAGTTGTAATAATTACTGGCGAAACGTCGTACTCAGATTGTAAATGTTGTGGCTTGGCTGTCCAACACACCGGTTAGTGCTGTACTAGCGACGAATTGGCCACGTTCTGTTTACGTGACAACCCTTACTAGTTGGCTGTGTCGGGTGGTGGCGGGTTTAACGACATTTATATATTTACGCGATCTAACCCAAAAAAAATCTCTATTATGGATATTACGGAAATATTACATTTGACACCGCGACGTCAAAGCGCGGACCTCCCCCCCCCCCAAAGCGCGGGGCTCGGGGCGCTCGCCCTACGTGGGACGGGAGTTCTGACCGCAGTAATGATCGCTCGGCTCTTCCGAGGGCGCGTTCTGGTCGCCTCGCGTCGTGCAGTGCACGCCGCGAGGCGACGGGGAGGGGGGGGGTAAGGAGGAGAGAGCCATTCCGTGGGGTTGACTAGCGCGTAATTAGGGGCTGGGAGATAAGAGGTGGGGGGGGTAGGCTGGTGTTGTTGAATGTCTGCTTTTGTTGTCGATGCGGTTGTTTAAAAAAAAAAATTGCGTCCCTTTACGACGAATGCGGCACGCGCTGTGCGAATGCACTCGGCACGCGCACGACCACAGCCAGCAGGCGTAACGTAATTACTTAATTGCACACGGAGAAGGGAAGAGTGTGTGTGTGTGTGCGCGTGTGGCTCAGCTCGTGGGATAATTCTGATGCTGGTGCCCGTGTTGGTAGAAATATACCCAACTGGATGGGATTGTTCCTCGTGTTGGTGATGTTGGCCTGTAGTGTGCGTTTGTGGCGATGTTGTACTCTGCTGATGAACGGTGCAAATGTGATTTGCACGGACCAAACTCTGCCGACACGGGACATTTAATCGTGTTTAATATTGAGATCCTGTAACACGGTTGTTGTTGTTTCATGGGATCTCCTTTGCCAGTATCAAAATATAACAATAGGTTTTCTCCTTTTTATGGCATGTCTCGGACCGCATTCGTGAACACAAAGCAGACCTGAAACACGGTAGGACCAACACCTCGGCCGTGGCAGATCACTGTTATAATTCAGTAGGCTCACATGACATTGACTTCTCCAAGACAAATGTTCTTTGCAAGCCATTTGGCTACCATGAGAGATTCGTTCATGAGGCTATCCACATATAGAAACACAGAGACAATTTCAACCAAGAAGATGGATTCTGGCTTAGCAATCATTGGAAGGATTTGATAAACCATTTCGGGTCTTAATTGATTGATCACGCTTAAGGTGGCTTTCAGACCGCATCCATTATTTTTCGTCTCCCCCTCTTTTCCGAACATAGATGGACTCGTCCATCTGAACAAACTGTCAAATCGCTCTCCGTGGTGCTAACGTTAAAAAAACCGCCACTTTTTTCAAGTTTTCTTGTTGTGGTTTTCACACCTGATGATGATTGCATGTGTTGCAGTCGAGACGTCGTGAGAATTTAATTGTTTTATATTTTTATTATTTTATTGTTTCCCTTCTACGTGACTTTACCGAAAGAACCAAGAATATGAATCCCTGCAGTCACGAAAGCTTTAAATCAAAAACAAAACAGGTGGTAAGATGGTCTAACACTGTTTGAGACTAGGCTTGAAATAAAGCTGTCTCTGGTGTGGACCAATCAGTTTCAAAGACAATGCATATATAATCAGAGTATGTTTTTTGTTTGTATTTTCACCACAAGTATATGTGGTTAATGCAGACATTATTCCTTGCAAAAAGGTTTCAGTTTGGTGTTTTAACATCTCAACACAACTGTTTTGTTGCCAGAAAAAAGGGTAAAAACTATTCTTATTAGGTTGCTGTTGTTGTTGTTTTGCACTCATTTCTATTCGCATAGAACTTAATGCGGTTTGGTGACCCCGGGGTCACACCCGTCCAAACGAGTTCATCGTTCAAACGTCCAAACTGTCCAAACTTCCACAACGTCCAAATTGTCCAAATGGTTTAAATCGTCCAAACGAGGCTCATCGTGGTCTCTCTCGTGCTCACTCTCCTGCTTAAACAAAAATCAACTTGATTGCAAACAGCCACGTTCACTCAACTCGCACGCGTCCAATATTGTGACTCACAATTGATTCCTGCGTTGTCGCTCGACAGCCACGTGGTCCGTTGGTTGCTCGATGTGCGTGTGATTGTATGATTGTGTACAGCCCCATCGAGCCCCCCCCCCCCCCCCCTTCTAAATTATTCGTGTAAAGTTGAACAAATATCGCTACAAATATCAGTAGAACGAAGCGACCGGCTCACCCCTCCCCCCCCCGCCCAGCCTTGCCTCGTTTACGCAGGGCGTGAGAGATACCGAACGGATTGCAAGACCGCATAATGACGGCCAGCGGCAAGATCGTATCGTCACTCGCTGTTGAGCGTTTAACGGTCAAGGTTTGTTTCAAGTTTGTTGAACACCGACTGCGTTCGTAGTCCCGTCCGTCCACTTGAGTTTTTGTTGTTATGAACCCCCCCACGCCACCCCCCCCCCCCCCCCCACGAATCAAGACAAGGCCACGCTCCTGGACTGTTTGTGTTTGACGCGAGACGCGACACCAGGTTGATGGATGGCTCGCAATCGATGATCGTTTTGAGTGACGGCGCATTGGAAGGTTGGCGAGGTGTCCGTTGGGTAACTCGGAGGGCGAGTGTCGGCGACACGAATGTGGAACTGATGATGACGACGACGACGACGCAGATACTTCGATTATTTCAAATTGTAACGCACCTCCGCTGCGCGGGATTCGACTCTCTGAAAGACGGGGAACGACTTCCGTGGTGCGAGGAGGAACAGGAGTAGGGATGAACGATTAGTCGATTGCAAATCGACATCGCAATTTGAAACAATGCGATTAGCAAATCGCAAAAGCTGCGATTTTTTTGCGATTTGAAAAGTCCTATTACTTATTGGAATTGTTTTTATTTTGTATTATTATTATAACTTTATTTATTTAACTTAACAATTGTTCTATGTTTGATTGTTCTATTTCAATTAAAACGTTTTAATAAATACATGTTGGAAGCAATTCATATCTTTTAAGTTCTCATCCATGCATTAGAATATATAGAGCAGTTCATATTTTGATGGTCTCACGTGGTAATGCTCCATCACGTGCTTTAAATCTATTACAACAGTTAATATTGAACTGAAACTTGACATTAAAAAATGTAATCGCAAATCAAATCGCAATATCTGTCAGAAAAATCGCGTGGAAAGGGAGCAGCAACCAGCAGCAGCCAGCCACGCGGTGAGCCGGTGCCAAATTATATCCAAAGCTTTTGCGGTTATCTATACGTCGTCAGAATATTTATTTAAGCTGGAGGAATTCGAATAGCTATACAGCTACTTTTCACAGACGTCCAGTAGGGATATATTAAAGGCGTTATCGGCCAATTAATGAGTGTTTACACGTGGGAGGAAACTGGCGCACCCCGGAGGAAATCCACGCGTGCGAGGGGGAAACACTCTATCCCGTACAGACGGAGTCCACACTTTTGCTGTACCCCCTTCTCCAGGAAGAGCCTGGGGGTACGGGCGTTTCACACCATCTGTCTTGTGTGTCCCCACACCAACAACGAGAGATGATTATCATCAAGGTGCTCATATATTAAATCATTATACGATGATAATGCTGAATAGCTGAACAGACGATGACAATCGCGATGATGGTGATGGTGATGCTGCTGCTGCTGCATGAATGAATAAACCAACCTCAACACATTCGTTAAGAACAATGCCTTGAAGGGAACATGATAACGGGCGACGGTTCGGCAATGGCCCTTCTCCATCGCACATTCATTTACTTACAACGATAGCGATGACGCACGAATAAATCGCTGAATACAGTAGATGATGGTTATGATGCATAAATACATCAATGACTGGATGATGATACATCCATGCATTATGATTAAGAAGCGTAAATGACTCACCATGAAGTAAACGGTGATATGACGTGTCGGTCAATCAAGAGATGCTGATTGCTGCGATGAATAAATTATGATGATGAATGTATGGATGATGACGGCTTTCTCTCGACAAAACAAGTCTTTTAGACCCTCGCTTGTCGAGGAACAGAGAGGACAAGGCGAATCGGAAGCACCACGACCATCGCTAAGAAGCTTGCGCCACAATCACCGAGCACGCGGCCAAAATACATCATCTCCACTTCTTATGCCCGTTACACCGTGTGTTAGGTGCCACGAGTGCGAATTAACAGGCAACATGCATATTAGCGATGCAGGTGCAGTGCTTCTGTGTGCACGTGTGTGTGTTGTGAGTGCCTGTCTGTACGTATGTGTGTGTGTGGGGAGCGGTGGTGTAGCGGTTAGCGCGCTGCGCTACGAACCCGGCAACCCGAGTTCGATTCCCGCTCACGGCCAACACCATCAGTGACGATTGTATCTGATCCGGTCATGGGCCTCCCCTAAGTCGACTCAGCCTCAAATGAGTACCCGGTTCGGTGTGTAAACGTCACCACTGGGGAGACAAAGGCGACGGGGCGTGGTGTTGGCCACCCACCCCCTCGTGTGCCGTGCCGGCCTTCATAGGTGCTCGCTAACAGCGCTCCAACAGTCTGATATATGTATGATGTGTATGTTGTGTGTGTGTGCGGTAGTGTTGTAATTAGCGCGCTGCGCTACGAACCCCGCTCACGGCCAGCAACCCCAGTGACGAATATCTCAACCGGTTCTGGGCCACCCATAGGTCGACTCAGCCTTAAATGAATACGTTGGTGCGGCGTTTAACACATCAGCAGCAGTGGGGAGACAAAGGCGGCTGGGCATGGTGCTGGCCACCTCCCTCGTGTGCCACAGTGCTAACCTTGATAGGTACCACTCGCTAACAGCACTTGTCTCATGTCTATTGATGCGATACGGGAGATATTTGTCCGTGTGTGTGTGTTCGTGCGTTCGTGTGTGTGAGATAAGTTGACTGCACAACAAAGTGTTTCAAACTTTTACCACCTCACCTTTTACTTCGGCTGCAACTCCATCTCCACCACCGCAATCACCACATCGTTTTCCATCCTCCTCGTGTCCAACTGTCCAGCGATCATGTCGAGGGACGTTGCCACATTGCATTAACCCCACCCCACCAGTCACCACCACCACCGTTCAAACACACAGCTCTTGGGAGTTGTATGTAGCTCACAGGGGAGCGGAGAGTTCAATCCCACTCCATCGCTCCTCCGCGAAGCCGCCTGGGTGAAGATGATGAGTCCACCAGGGTGAAGATGATGAGTCCACCAGGGTGAAGATGATGAGTCCACCAGGGTGAAGATGATGAGTCCACCAGGGTGAAGATGACGAGTCCACCAGGGTGAAGATGACGAGTCCACCAGGGTGAAGATGATGAGTCCACCAGGGAGGTGTCAGCAGCACGAGGCGTCAAATAGCCCGGCGTGTGGAGGGGGCACTTTATCCAGCAGTGGATTTACGAACGCTCTCCACGTGGACACGTGCACGAGCAACGGCGTGTGGGATGGGTTGCTGGGCGATGGCCGGCTTTTGATGTTCTTGTGGTTGTTGCTGTTGTTGTTGTTGTTGAAGCTGCTGTTGTTGTTGTTCGTCCACTGAGCGAGTTGCGCAACAGCACCCGGGATCTCACCGTTGTTGTTGTGGTGTTTGTGTGTGGGCTGCTCGACGGCGATTTCAAAACCTCCTCCACCGACTCCTCGGCCAGCCTCCGCGCGTGTGTCGACTCCACCCCGCGGCTCACAATAAACACGCTGCCTCCCACCCACCACCCTCCCACCCACCACATACACACTCACCCACCACACACACACTGACCCTCCCACCCACCACACACACACTCTCACCCACCACATACACACTCACCCTCCCACCCACCACATACACACTCACCCACCACACACACACTGACCCTCCCACCCACCACACACACACTCTCACCCACCACATACACACTCACCCTCCAACCCACCCACCACATACACACTCACCCTCCCACCCACCACATACACACTCATGCTCCAACCCACCACATACTCACTCACCCACCACATACACACTCACCCTTCCACCCACCCACCACATACACACTCACCCTCCCACCCACCACATACTCACTCATGCTCCAACCCACCACATACTCACTCACTCACCCACCACATACACAATCACCCTTCCACCCACCCACCACATACACACTCACCCTCCAACCCACCCACCCACCACATACACACTCACCCTCCCACCCACCCTCCACATACTCACTCACCCTCCCACCCACCCACCACATACACACTCACCCTCCCACCCACCCTCCACATACTCACTCACCCTCCCACCCACCCACCACATACACACTCACCCTCCCACCCACCCTCCACATACTCACCCACCCACCCCTCAATACACACTAAACACACGCGCGCTCACTCATCCTCCCACCCACCCCACAATTCATACTGAACTCACAGCCACCCAAACCACCCAACCACAACCACCACCCCCAGCCACCACCACAGCTCACAATCTACACTGAGCGCACAAGACAACCCCCCGTCTAGCCTGAACAGACGTTAGGGGCAAGTGCAGTTATAGAGCACCGATGATAGCCGGCACGGGACACGAGGAGTGGGGTGGTCAACACCACGCCCGGTCGCCTTTGGGGCCGTCCATAAATGACGTCACGCGATTTTTGACCCCCCCCCCCCATCATCACACGGCGTCACAAAAAGTCAGACCCCATCAAATATGACGTCAAAAAGCTCTGCCACCCCCCCCCCCCCAAATAAATAAAACATGCTTCAAATCGCTTTAAACTATTGTCATTGTAGCGCGTATTTAATGTGGCGCTGCACTCTGATGTTGTAGGAGAAAACATTTATTAAAAAAAGTCTATTTAATAAAGTAGAACGTGTTGTCTATATTTATTTAAAGTTGCGCATTTTGATGTGACGTCACATTTCTCAACCCCCCCCCCCCTCGTCACACATCGTCACAATGTCTGACCCCCCCCCTAGGTGCGTGACGTCATTTATGGCCGGCCCCTTTGTATCCACCTACACGGACATACCTACACACCACTACCACCCCAAACATACTCACCTACACATCAGTTTCAGTTTATTTTTCAGTTTATTTATTTTGGTATAGCCCAACAACCCACACACATTCACCTACCCACCTATATACATGCTCAGCTAAGTGAACACCTACACACACACGCCTTCAATTACCGTGATAGCACACACACTCTCACCCTGCACTTACACCTCGAACACACACTCTCACATCCTGTACTCACGCACACACTCCGCACACACTCACACGCTGCACTCACACACACACTCACCCCGCACACACACTCACATCCTATACTGACACACTCACCCCACACACACACACATCCTGTACTCACTCACACACTCACCCCACACACACACACATCCTGCACTCACTCACACACTCACCCCACACACACACACATCCCGCACTCACTCACACACTCACCCCACACACACACACATCCCGCACTCACTCACACACTCACCCCACACACACACACATCCTGTACTCACTCACACACTCACCCCACACACACACACATCCTGCACTCACTCACACACTCACCCCACACACACACACATCCCGCACTCACTCACACACTCACCCCACACACACACACATCCTGCACTCACTCACACACTAACCCCACACACACACACATCCTGTACTCACGCACACACTTACCCTGTACTCAGACCCCGAACACACACTCACACACACCGCGAACACACACTCACACACACACACTCACGCCGCACTTACACCCCGAACACACGCACACCCAGCACACACTCACATACTCCCCAAAACTCAGTCAGAGGAGTGTCTTTCTCGCTGCGGCTGTAGAGAGCTGTGTGTGTGTGCGTGAGGTTGTGTGTGTGGCTGGGTCATGTAGCCCGCATGCTCAGCCACCGCATGCCGAAACAGCTTTTATTCGGCCGGATTGAGGGGGCTAAGCGGGCGCGGCACGGGCTAGAGAAGAGATGGAGTGATGTGGTACAGGAGGACGTGGAGCTGAGTGGACTTGCCGATGACTGGTACCGGCGGTGTCAAGATCGGCCTCTGTGGAGGAGGCTCGTGAAGGGCGCTACTGGCCAGTTGGAGGCAGTCGCCCTCCAACAACAACGGAGGGCGGAGGAGCGACAACAACGAGCGGAGCGCCGGGTAGCTAAAGCACAGCAGATTGGCACAGTATGGGGCACAGGTGATGCATCAGCCAGTCATCTCAGTCATCTCAATCAGTCGACCCGTGGCACCTGGGTCTGCCCCGTGACCCCTGCCAGCGGGCGTTCGACACTTCACGTGGCCTCAAGGTGCACATGGCCTGGCACAAGCGTCGTGGTGACGTCACCGCCACTTAGTGGCGAATGGCGGTTGTTGTTTGTGTGAGGTTGTGTGTGTGTGAGGTTGTGTGTGTGTGAGGTTGTGTGAGAGTGAGGTTGTGTGCGTGAGGTTGTGTGTTTGTGTGAGGTTTTGTGTGAGGTTGTGTGAGAGTGAGGTTGTGTGTGTGTGTGAGGTTGTGTGTGTGTGAGGTTGTGTGTGTTCGTGTGTTTTGCGTGAGGTTGTGTTAGAGTGTACGTTATGGGGGTGTGTTACAGTGCGTGCGAGGGTGGTGTTCGTGAGAGGGGGAGCGGTGGCGCAGTGGTTAGCGCGCTGCAACCGACGAACTTGACCCGAATTCCTGCTCACAACCAACGTTAAGTGACGAACGAATACCACAGCTGTCAACCCCTTATCAGTGTCCTACCTTATCACAGACCAATTCCAGACCTTATTGGTCACCCCGTGCCCCTTATAAATCTCAACGTTCATCCTACAAAGTCCCGTCCACATGAGAGAAACACAAACAAAGAAGACAAAAACTTTCTTGCCCGTATTGGAATGGCTGTTACGCCGTATGGACCAGAAAACGAAAATTTTCTCTGCACAAGAATACGGTGTAAACCATATGAGTTGACAGGTATGGGATATCTGCACCGGTTCTGGGACTCCTCTAGATCGACTCAGCCTCAAAACGAGTACCGAGTGCGGTTGTGTGAACATCGTCACTGGGAAGACGAAGATGGCCGGGCGTGGTGCCGGCCATCCACCCCTTCGTGTCCCCCCGTGACAGACATCCACGGGTGTTGGCTAACAGATCTAGCGGCCCAAATAGTCTTTTTTCAGAGGCTATGCGGGCATTTGTCTTTTGTATCTGTGAGTGAAGTGCTTCAGTGTGTGTGAGAGAGAGAGGAACAGTCGCGTGTCTTGAGTGTTTACGTGTGTGCGTGTGAACGTGTGGGATAGTGCGCAGCTGTGAGAGTGAGTGTGCGTGCTTGTGTATGCGCTAGATAAGGCACATCTGTATCCGTGACAATGTGTGTGTGTGTGTGCGTGACATTGTGTCCGTGACATTGTGTGTCTGTGAGATTGTGTGTACGTGTGATTGTGTGTACGTGTGGTTGTGTGCACGTGAGATTGTGTGTGCACGTGAGATTGTGTGTGTACGTGAGATTGTGTGTGTGCGTGCGAGCGCTCACTATGCGCGCCCCCGTGCGCCCTGCAAGGAGACCGCACCCCAAGTGTCACCACGCACCTAAAAATAGGGTTCACATCCACACAGCCAGCACAGCCAGCACAACCACCACAACCACACGGCCAGCACAACCACCACAACCACACAGCCAGCACAACCACACAAGCACCACAACCACACATCCAGCACAACCACCACAACCACACAGCCAGCACAACCATACAGCCAGCACAACCACCACACATCCACACAGCCAGCACAACCACCACAACCACACAGCCAGCACAACCACACAAACACCACAACCACACATCCACACAGCCAGCACAACCACCACAACCACACATCCACACAGCCAGCACAACCATCACAACCACCACAACCACCACACATCCACACATCCACGTACATCCACGTACCAGCACAACCACCACACAGCCAGCACAACCACCACACATCCACACAGCCAGCACAACCACCACAACCACACATCCACACTGGGTGACGAGACGTTTATGCCGGGGTCGGGAAGAGGAGGAAACGGCGAACGTTCTCCTGAAGTCGTGATTCAGCGAAACGACTGCGGAAAGCAGTGTCACACAACATAGGAGATATGAGCATACATTAGAACAATGAGTAATAATTTACAGGCCTTTTGTCGATATACTCCTTAATAAAAAGCCTCCCCCACACCGCGAGTTGTTTGACCATACTTCACCATCTTCTTTGGTTATTTCGGTAAAGTCACGTAGAATGAGAATAAAATAATAAATTGATAAAAAAATAACGCAATAATATTCTCACGACGTTTCGGTCACAACACAAGCGGCCTTCATCAGTCTCGTCCCTTCACCTGATGAAGGCGGCTTGTGTTGTGGCCGAAACGTCGTGAGAATATTGTTATTTTATTTTATCAATTTATTATTTTATTCTCATTCTACGTGACTTTACCGAAAGAACCAAAGAAGATTAATCCTTGCAGTCACGAAAGCTTTAAATCATACTTCACCACTTTGCTCGGTGCGGGCTGGGTTGAGGTTTGGGGAAGGCAGGGGTCCGGTTCAGACATCACTCGCCCAGCGAGTGACACCCCAGTTCAGAACGCAGTCTGCTATCCACCACACCGTCATCGCCCCCAGCACGACGCTTTAAGCACGGGGTATCACCACTGATGTTAGCTAGCCTGGGATCTGAATCCAACTCGGGTATCGTGCCGTCGGGGGGGGGGGGGGTGTTCAATATTGCAAAGGGCGAACCACTCCACCGCCGCTGAAACACGTCTCCCCACGTTGAGGTTCACAAGCGTTGTTGTGTTTTTATTCAGTGACTAAAAGGTTGAAACCGCGTTGGCATGGGTGCACAATCACACACAATCACACGTAATCACACAATCACACACAATCACGCACGCACAATCACACGCAATCACGCACAATCTCGCACAATCTAACACACACAATCACGCACCATCACACACAAATGTCGTCTCTTTAAAATGGGTATTTGATCATGAATAGTATGTCCGTCTGATAAAAGGAACGTGAGGGTTTTATTGATTTATATTTTTTGGTTAAAGGCAGTGTGGTAATGGGGGCGAGGTTTTTTTTTATTGTCCTGATACAGGAGAGAGCGGTGGCACATTGGTTAGCACACTGCAAATGTTAACTCGGCAACCTGCGTTCCACTCTCGGCCATCATCAGTGGTCCGTGATATTTAAACAACTTCCTGGGGCTACCCTTTAATAACCCGCACTGACCAGCGTAGTGATGATGCATGGTAAAACAAAAAAACCCATAGCTTTCACGGCGTGGGCGAGCCTTCATCCAGCAGTGGATACAAAAAGGACTGTCAATATTCATAATTGTGACGATGTGCATACTCGCAGTCCCCCTGCTCTCTGTTCCAGCAGCCTCTTGTATAAGTTTCCAGTCCACCTCCACTAAACGTGGAGGTCGCCTTTTATCTGCTGCCTCAATAATCTCGAATTCCCTTCCACCAGCGAGCTACCCGTGCTGTCGACAGCCTGTCCCCAGTGCAGCCCCACGACCTTCCTCTTTCTCCGATGACTGGCCATCTCTCCTCTACCAAGTGACTGAAAACACACCGTACTTTTAAGAATTGTACATCTCCATTTTATAATGCGCACATCCCAGTATTTTGTGCAGCGTATTTGCAAGGACCGGGTTCATAATTCCCCCCCCCCCCTTTTTTTGTTATTCGCAATCTGGGCCGTTTATTTTCCACTAATAAGTTGTTCGTAAAATCGATGGCAAGGATTCAAAATGCACGTCCTTCCAAAGACGTCCGTATCCTCCTCCGTGATGTCACGCAATACTCCATGGAAAAGTGGAAGTTTCGGTTATCTTGGCTCGAAACCTCCTCCTCCCAAATGTGTTACATTTTGTGTGAAATTCAACAGCTGACAATGTCACTCTACTCTCTTGATATTTACGACAGGTTGCTGGGGACCCCCTTCCGCCCCCCGCCTCTTCTCCTCGGTTGCTTTGCCACTACACCAGTGTTGTTCACTCGTTTTCAAAGGGGGGGGGGGGGTCACTTTCGCCGATAAGACATCATCAGTGTGTGAGGGCCAGACGCACATTGGGAAACCATTACTGGGTTAGACAACAGCACAATGATGATGATGGGGAGTGTTTACACGCATTGTATTGTCGGGGGCCCAACGTCGTGGGGCCGCACTTATTGCCACCAGGGACTGCCATGAGCCCGCGGGCCTGGCACTAAAAAACACCGACTCTTGTGTATCGGCTGTAACGCGTTCTTCAACTTCGTTGAGCCACCGGTAAATATTGAGCGAGTGTGACTTAACTCGCAATGCTTTGTTGCAACAGGAAACACGGATATATATAAAAAAGAGGAAGTTGTGACCATTAAAGGAAAAAAATACTTGATCTTTGAGTGGCATTCTACAGCGTGAATATGCTATTAATATCATGTAGAGATGTTTTTTTTTAAACGCGTTACGAGTCGTAGTGAATGAGTTATAAAGTCGAATAAAGTTACACGTTACCGATTCGATCCAATCACAGACAGCTGTAATCCGAACGCAACTGCGAAATAAACCACGCAGCCATTATGACCGGATAATTGGAAATCATTCCGTGATTAGAACCGGATGATTAGAAAGAATCCAATCAGAGTGACTATAACCGGATGCTTGGACATCATCCAATCAGTGATTATAACCGGATGATTGGAAATCATCCAGAGCGATTATAACCGGCTCGGAATGCATCTAGTGATTATAACCGGATGATTGGATATCATCAAATCGGAGTGATTATAACCGAGGTGCTAGCAGCGGGCTTATACGGAGACGCAATTCCGTTTTCGGAAAAGAGTAAGTTATTAAAACAATTCAATGAATACAACATAAGGACAATGCTGTTCTGTATGTAAGTTCAGTTAATTTATCCATGCTTCGCAATGGAAATCCAGTTCACAGATCGGCGAGATACAGAAAATTGTATACGCTATAGCTATGAACTGTACTTTAATAATACTAAAACCACTCGGCAAGGTTAATTACGCGTGTCCATTATGACGAGCAATGGGTTTGGCAAAACTTTGCGTTCACTGGGAGCAAGTAGATTTTTAACGGAAAGCAAGTCTCACCATAAATCCGCGTGCTGATTTTTTTCTGACGCTTTCCCCGTTGGATTGCAAGGAAACTTGCACCATCTATCGGTCGCAAATTAGCATTACCGTGCACTGGTGAACGTAATAAGCGCCTCGTGAAAAAGACCGACTCGGACGATCCCTGGCTTCGATCGATCGCAACCGCATTCGCACAAAAAAATACCACGGCAGCATGGCAGCATATGATGCACAAATGGGAAAAAACCCCCTCCGGCAGTATGCGAAGACCGTGGTTACCACCCATAACACCGTGGAACCTAATCTAAAACTATCAACAATTTTCTTTTACCAGGCTGGCCCACTGAGCTACACAGCTCTTTTTCAAAAAAGCGATCTGGCCACAAATGACAGCTCAACCAAGTGGCTTATCATGTGGAGATGTATAGCAGCCAAATACTCTGAACGGCATGTTTCTAAATGTGGAGGGAAAACCGGGGGATAGAGAACACGGTAACTCCAAGATATACAGGCGTCAGGCTCGGGATCGAACCCCACGACTTATCCGTTTCTCGTGACTGGTTGGTATGGGTCGTGTGGGGGGACAGGGTGAAGAGGGGTGGTGGGGGAAGAGGATGTTTGGATCAGTTCATAAAGATCAAGATCCTGTCTGTCCTTCGCTACTCCTGATGTGACCCGTGGCTGGGGATCCAACTCAAATCGCCGAGATCATAAAAAACAACATCGTGCCACCACTCTCCCCATGACCGTTCTAAAATCTTCACGGAGCAACACGAGATGCCCATTGCTGCGCGTTCATTTGCAGGCGAAGGAATCGACGTTAAGGACGTGTATAAACAACCAACCTTTCACAATCTGGGCTGAGCTGCGACACAGGTATAATATGTACTGTTTATTGTTGTCAGCAATATCACTTATCGATAAGAATGTATGTAAAAAAAAGCATAAAATATTTGTAAGTGTTCATGTAATAGCCCAACGGCTATTTTCACGCGACAAAACGTGTACAATCAATTCAATGCAAACCTGTACTTTGCTTGTAGAAAAGGGGCATTTGAAATTTGTTGAACATACGGCACCATTCTGTCCGTGAAAAGCACGGAAAAAGGGGGGCACTGGTGGGCAGTGAAATCCTACAAAACCGCCAAATGTGACGAGTCTCAACTCGACCCGCCGCGTGGCTGTTACTCCGAACGCTTTACTCGGCAAGAAACACAAGGTGGCCAGAACTATAAACCCATCATCTCTCAGTGGTAAATAAAAGGAATACGATACCGCTTTGTTGGGAAGTCAAGCATGGTCCATACGATAAAACTGGTCCCTGTCATAGGAATGTAGAGTCTTCATCGCTGGTTTACAGCCAATGACAGACGTGAGCATCGCCTCCACCATGGCCGTTGGAACAGATACACATTTGGGACTTGAGACATATCACATCCATGTACTGTTTCAACCGTCATTCACTTTCACCTGGGTCTATTCAAATGACCGACGTAGCATTGCATGGTATTGCGATTAAGTGTTTTTTTTTTCCACATCGGCATTATCTACGAATTACACAAACCAAAATTGCAAGTGCTCCGAGGTCTCTTGAAACAGATCTCAATGGAAGTGTGAATCAGCTAAGCCACGTAACAAAAATAATAGCAATTTATGCAAAACTTCACCTCCTTTACAGCACCATGCTTGTCCCTAATTATCCAGAATTGTCTTCACGGTGCGCACATTCCACACACCGAGCTGACATTACACCACTGACAAGGGGCAGTCGTGGGACATGCAGGGTAGTAGTTGGGGGGAGAGAGGAGGACAAGGGGGTAATGAGGGACATTTATAGGGAGAACCGTGTACACCCCCCCCCCCCCATATTTAAAAGTATGAACGCCAATTAATGCCACCTTGAACATTTCTACAATTTCCTCCCGGGTGCGAAACGAGAAAATACGGGTGAACTTTATAACGTAACGTCGAGTTTGGCGGTGGTTGGCGGGGGGGGGGGGGGAAATCGCATGAGAATGTACATGTCAATAAGCCGTTATCCATTTACATTTTCAAGCCATGCAATCTTCAACCATACAGTTGTCTCTTGTGCAAAACTGGTTTTAATGTATTCCTGTATCGTTCAAGTATTGTGTGAAAATACTGGACACGAATTCCAAAGGACGGTTTCACGCCATTGCAACAATTCCCCCCCACCCATGCGGTTTGCGAGATGGCATTCATTGGATAGCTGCTCAAAAAACGAATGGATGACCGTCCCTTGTGTCGGAGCACCCGTCGTTGAGTGCGGTCAATTAGTAGCAGACGCACGCGGCACACATTCAGGCGAACCCTGTACGTGCCCTCAACGCGTTCCCATTTAAACCAGGCACTGTGGACCCAGCACCTTTGAGCACATGTGGCCCAAATGGCATTGAACTGTCGGGAGCAGGGAGAGTGGGAGGGTGAGCGAGCGAGTGGTGCAAGGCACGGGATATTTCTCACCGCGCTTCATCGCCATTCAGTGAAGGAGTCACCCCATAGGCGCGGGAATGTAGTGGACGAGGGGAATTCGCTCCCTCTGCCCGTTACACTTTGCGCAGGGGCAAAGCATATGACGTGGCCCCTTAATTGCCTTAATGGGCTCCCCATCACTAGTTAATCCCCCCCCCCCCCAAATTGCAAACTGTTCCCACGCACCTGCATCCACCAACCAATGTGGGCGAGGCACGGCTTAATAATCACAAGAAATCCGCCAGCAAAATCATCGGTTTACGCTGCTCTCTAGGACCCTTTTCTTCAACGTCCTTTCCAATTCCACTCGACAAAGGCCGTCCGCACTTTTCACCTTCATTCACGCTGCTCTACCTCGCCTACAACATGCAAGTACTCTCTACACATAAGCAAGCAAGGGCACTCACCCACAAATTCACTCCCCCCCCCCCCTCTCTCTCTGGCCAGGACACAGGCTCAAGTGCTGCGTTGGTCGAAAGGAGGACACCGTCACCAGGCAGTATAAGAGGCAGGCAGGCGCACAACAAGAGGCACGGATTGATGGGAGCTCACCAACCCAGTGTTTTACCGTTCATTAAATGTTTCCAGTGCACTTCACATTAATCGCCGACGGATGGGAATGCTCAGACCGCGGGGGGGGGGGGGACAGGGCGGATACCATGAATGTACAAGCTCATGCACTGTCAATGTCATGGATTGGAGGGCGCGGGAGTGCATTTTATATCGGCGTGAAAACGTCAAGTCTTTTCCGCGTGTACATTCCGCGTTCCCTTCTGCTTGGGGCCCACTCAAAAAAACACTTGGCTCAAAAACGTGATTATAGAAAAAAAATATACCTTTTAGAACGTGACCATGAAACAGAGACAAACAACCCTGGCTCGAACAGCATGAGTAATGCCAGACAAACTACAAATCTCACCAGTCCTCTAAGTGAATTAAGCATCACACGTTACCACCATAAATATTTCTTTAGACAAAACGAGGCAGAAATCTTCTGCTGAAATGCCACATTGTCTGCGTAGTGTAATAAAATGTGGAATGTAAGGAACTCGTTACAAAAAACTAGTGTCAAAGACTTCAGCCTTATTTCCCTACACATTTTGCTGTTTTAGTGTTTCCTTCATTTCTCTACTTGACAACAAAAGACAAATACCGCAATGTAACATTGCAAATACTGGAGTTGTGTTAAATAATTCACAATAATGCTTTTTTCTCCATCGTTTCAAGTGACTGCCTCCCCTAATTACACTTCACCTTCAATGTAAAGTTAACGCTACATAAACGCTTATGGAAATGACGGTCGGCCATCCGGAACGGGTGACATAATCCGTACAATGAATCTGTTGCAGAAAAGTATCAAAACGAAACCATACGAAGGTGCTATCAAGGCTGACTTGAAACAAAAAATAAATCTTTGAAGACCTTTGGTCAACGACGTTTTGGAAGTGCGACTTACGGGCCGAGGCGGTTCAACAGAGCCACGCCAGCCAGCCTGCCGGCCACCTTCACGGCCCGAGCCTCCTCGTCATCCCCATACCCAATTCAGCTGACGCACTTGACCCCATCCTGGCGGCTTCGTGTTCCCATACAATGTAGCATCAAACGGCGCCACGGTAGCGAGACGATAACTAACTCGCCTGGTATGCAGGAGGTCGTGGGTTCGATCCCGACCCTGACGCCTGCTGCTGTATATTTGGAGTTTGCTTGTCTCACACTCGTCATCATCACGGTGGCTAGGAGATGTTAACTACCTCGCCTGTTATACAGGAGGACGTGGGTTCGATCCCGACCCTGACGCCTGCTGCTGCTGTATATTTGGAGTTTGCACGTTCTCCCCGTGGTCGCGTGCAATTTTTCTCCGGGTCCTCCAGATTTTTCCCCTCTATATTTAGAATCAACGTCACACGTATGGAGTAATTTGGCTATTAATTTCCACAGGATAAGCCCCTTTGTTGAGCTATTACATGTGGTCATGTCGCTTCTGAAAAAAGAGCTATAGAGCTCAGTGGGCCATACCTGGTAAAAAAATAAAAAGGGGGGGGGAAATTCTACGGAGGTGTGCGTGCAAAAAGCCCTGCCAATATCTTCAGGATCGAATCGCTGGTTCATTTACGGAGTGTTCTAGAAGTGGAACGACAGCGATGCGAACGTCGTTTTACGTCCAAGTCGATGACGTCGTCGCTCCCGCGCTTCACTCGGTAAATCAACGAGATTTCATCGAACTTTGCTTCTCGGACCTCCGAAGATGCGTTCACCAACAGCCGCTCAGGTTTCAAAGTACTTGTAAATGGCTGTCACGTAGTGCATGACACTCTGCCAGTCTGGTCGTTCGGTGTGTACCATGTCATTGATATCCTGCGAAGAAAAACGCGCAAACGAGGAGGACACGTCAGTGTACAGAAGCGTTTCCTTCGCGGTATTGCCACACCATTATATGGCAGAGGGTGCTTCATGGAAAATTCTGCATGTAACAAATTCTAACTGATTAAATATTTGCTGATGGTTATCCGAAAAATACAATTTGTATCGAAGTTCAGGGACACTAATGAGTTGGGCCGAGTTATATTCTATCAATGTGGCCCGAAGGCTTACCAGCGTGGGCTTGATTCCAACACTTTCCGCAGCCTGGAAGGCAAGTGTCAAGTTTCTCTTCTATGTGCACACAGCAACAAAATGACAATAAAGGGAAAACACAGATTAAATATATACAAGGTAAACATTGAAACAAATTAGAATGATGACATTTTAAAGACAATCTTGATTTGAAGCTTTCGTGACTGCAGGAATCCATACTCTTTGGTTATTTCGGTAAATTCACGTACGTATAAAAAATATATATATCACGGCGTTTCGATCGCAACACAAGCGGTCGTCCTCAGGTGGAAAAAAAGAAATAATCCAGCAGTGGAACTGCTGAACCAGCGAGAGAGCTGTTACAACGAGAGGTTATTTATGTGGCGATGGGCAAGCAAGCGGGGTCCGAGCTGGAAGGAATTCCATCCCCGGACGCAAGCACGTCAGTTGTGTTAATGGGGGAGATTAGGGAAAGAGAGATTAGGGAGAGATTAGCATGAAATGAGCTTCCGTTGCCGCCTAAGAGTATCATCCCCGCATATGCGCACAACATCCATAAAGAAGGTACTCCACTCCGTCCTATCGTTTCTACCATCAACTCACCTACCTATAAACTGGCCCGATTTCTGTCTGAGACCCTGCTTCCATTCACGGGTAAGACCACCTCAGCAGTACTCAATTCAGCTCACTTGGTTTCCCTAATCAAGAACATGTCACTGTCTCCAGATGATTTGCTTGTCAGCTTCGATGTAGTCTCTCTTCACCAAGGTACCTGTACCTGACACCATAGCAATCATTGAAGACTTGGTCCAACAGGGACTGAATCCTTTAAAAATTAATTTATTTTGTTTTACCTATATGACTTTACCGAAAAAAACAAAGCGTATGAATCCTTGCAGTCACGAAAGCTTCAAATCTAGAATTAATGCCCTCTACGGGGAGGAATTTCACTTACCTGTTAGAGTTTTTAAGAGACGAGACAAGAAGTCACAGCTCATCGAGACACTAACCTTCCTCATTGCTTTCACACTCACATCTGCTGCTGAATCTTCACCGAACTCTAAACGGATATTGTTTAATGCTAGACTATCACTAATCTCAGAGAGAATAAGAGTACTCCGATTTGAACTCGATAGTTTAGACAAGACTCTCTTACAATCATATTTAATGTTAACACAAAAAATGTCCCCTTCTGATTGGAACCACGTTGACAACATGACTGCTGCCTCTGCTGATTCATTGTCAGCCAAATGCAAAGCTAACCTGATCGCTAAATTCAACCTCCTATCAAAGAAGAAGCCAGAACCACACATCACAAAACTGGATAACAAAATCGTTATTAATCAGAGTAACATCCCGATTTCGGACAATCTGAAAACGGTACTGGCTAAAGGGCTAAATTTCGCTGTCACCCCGAAACATATACAGTGAGGTAAAAAGGTATTTGATCCCCTGCTGATTTTGTACGTTTGCCCACTGACAAAGAAATGATCAGTCTATAATTTTAATGGTAGGTGTATTTAAACAGTGAGAGACAGAATAACAAAAAATCCGGAAAAACGCATGTCAAAAATGTTATAAATTGTTTTGCATTTTAATGAGGGAAATAAGTATTTGACCCCTCTGCAAAACATGACTTAGTACTTGGTGGCAAAACCCTTGTTGGCAATCACAGAGGTCAGACGTTTCTTGTAGTTGGCCACCAGGTTTGCACACATCTCAGGAGGGATTTTGTCCCACTCCTCGTTGCAGATCTTCTCCAAGTCATTAAGGTTTCGAGGCTGACATTTGGCAACTCGAACCTTCAGCTCCCTCCACAGATTTTCTATGGGATTAAGGTCTGGAGACTGGCTAGGCCACTCCAGGACCTTAATGTGCTTCTTCTTGAGCCACTCCTTTGTTGCCTTGGCCGTGTGTTTTGGGTCATTGTCATGTTGGAATATCCATCCACGACCCATTTTCAATGCCCTGGTTGAGGGAAGGAGGTTCTCACCCAAGATTTGACGGTACCCCGTCCATCCTCCCTTTGATGCGGTGAAGTTCTCCTGTACCCTTAGCAGAAAAACACCCCCAAAGCATGTTTCCACCTCTATGTTTGACGGTGGGGATGGTGTTCTTGGGGTCATAGACAGCATTCCTCCTCCTCCAAACACGGCGAGTTGAGTTAATGCCAAAGAGCTCCATTTTGGTCTCATCTGACCACACCACTTTCACCCAGTTGTCCTCTGAATTATTCAGATGTTCCTTGGCAAACTTCAGACGGGCATGTATATGTGCTTTCTTGAGCAGGGGGACCTTGCGGGCGCTGCAGGATTTCAGTCCTTCACGGCGTAGTGTGTTACCAATTGTTTTCTTGGTGACTATGGTCCCAGCTGCCTTGAGATCATTGACAAGATCCTCCCGTGTAGTTATGGGCTGATTCCTCACCGTTCTCATGATCATTGCAACTCCACGAGGTGAGATCTTGCATGGAGCCCCAGGCCGAGGGAGATTGACAGTTCTTTTGTGTTTCTTCCATTTGTGAATAATCGCACCAACTGTTGTCACCTTCTCACCAAGCTGCTTGGCAATGGTCTTGTAGCCCATTCCAGCCTTGTGTAGGTCTACAATCTTGTCCCTGACATCCTTGGAGAGCTCTTTGGTCTTGGCCATGGTGGAGAGTTTGGAATCTGATTGATTGCTTGTGTGGACGGGTGTCTTTTATACAGGTAAACAAGCTGAGATTAGGAGCACTCCCTTTAAGAGTGTGCTCCTAATCTCAGCTCGTTACCTGTATAAAAGACATCTGGGAGCCAGAAATCTTTCTGATTGAGAGGGGGTCAAATACTTATTTCCCTCATTAAAATGCAAATCAATTTATAACATTTTTGACATGCGTTTTTCTGGATTTTCTTGTTGTTATTCTGTCTCTCACTGTTCAAATAAACCTACCATTAAAATTATAGACTGATCATTTCTTTGTCAGTGGGCAAACGTACAAAATCAGCAGGGGATCAAATACTTTTTTCCCTCACTGTACCAGTAGAGGATGTCATCTCTCAGGTCGATGTAGCCCTCAAAGGCATAGGACACATCCAAGCGGACGTTGCGAGAGCTGAAATAGCCACTATTCTCAAGAATGTTAAGAAACCCATTAGCAACATTAGCAAAAACGAACGCTCTGGACTCGCAAATTTAAAAAAGAGGGATGATATAGTCATCGTTTCGTCCGACAAGGGCAATGCTATTGTCATTATGGATAAAAACTCATACAACAAAATCCATGACCTACTCAATGATGGGAGTTACTAAAATTTTTAAAATGATCCTACTAACAGCCTAATGATAAAAACCAACAAGATCATCACTTGTTCGACTTCCCTAATCGAACCAACCAAACGTCCCTCCCTAAAACCCTCGGCTGCAAGACCTCCCAGATTCTATGGTCTTCCCAAGATCCATAAAGAAGGTACCCCACTACGGCCCATCGTGTCCACGATCAACTCTCCTACCTACAAGCTAGCTCGTTTTATAATCGGATAATCTGCTTCCCTTCACTGGCAAGACCACCTCAGCAGTACTTAACTCAACTCAAGTGAGTTTAACACGTAGGCTTTCGCGACCAATATTATTCATAATAAAGGTTTTTGGGTTAGATCGCGTTTATTTATAAATGTGTCGTAACCCTCCACCACCCGACACGGCCAATCAGTGCGGCCTGGAAGCGTATTATTAAATAATACACATTACATTTAAAGAATTACTAATCTACAACTCATTACTAATCATAACCAATGACTGATTACTAATCGATTATATAATTACAATACCCCGCCCTCCGCCTCTAATCACTGCACCTGATGAGTTAAGTGATGACGTCACCCTGCTGCTCTATATAAAAACCGGGAGCAAGCGAGGGCTTTACCATTCTGGCGAATTGCTTGATGATGCTGGATGTATTTACCAGCGAAACGTCGTACTCAAACTGTAAATGTGGATTAACTCTTCAACACACCGGTGGGCTGAAGTAGTGAATTATTTGTCTTTTGTCAACGTGACACTTTTTTTGCTGATTGGCCGTGTCGGGTGGTGGAGGGTTACGACACATTTATAAATAAACGCGATCTAACCCAAAAACCTTTATTATGAATCAACTCAAGTGGTTTCTATGGTCAAGGACATTGTACCATCTCCTGACGATATCCTTGTCAGCTTTGATGTGGTCTCTCTGTTCACGAAGGTCCCAGTGCCTGACACCATAACAATAATTGAAGATTTGGTCCAACATGGACTGAACCCTGATGTACCTGCGCTGGTTAGGCACTGCCTCACCAACACTTACTTCACCTGGAATGGTACCTTCTACAAACAAAATGAGGGTACCCCTATGGGTTCCCCTTGTCACCAGTGATAGCCAATGTTTTCATGGAGAAATTTGAATCAGACGGCATCCAGACATCCACCCTTCGTCCTTCCCTGTGGATGAGATATGTGGATGACACTTTTGTGATTTGGCCACATGGCCTCCCAGCATTGACCCATTTCCTAGACCACATCAATTCCAGACACCCATCCATCAAATTCACCATGTAAGTGGAGAAAGATGGCAAGCTGCCATTCTTGGATGTTCTGTTTGAGAGGAGGACTGATGGCTCTTTGGGACATTCTGTTTTTAGGAAGTCCACCCACACAGATTCCTACTTGAAGCCTGATTCCCACCACCACCAGGCTCAAAATAATTATCTCATCAAAACATTATATCATAGGGCTCATTGCATTTCTGACCAACACCACCTGGCCAGTGAATTAAAACATGTACACCTGGCCCTCAAGATGAACGGATACTCTGACCGTACTATCCGCCAAGCTGTTTCTCCCACCATACAGAAACAACCACCTGATACTCCGATCAAAATCATCACGTTGCCATACATAGCAGGCGTTACCAAAAAGATCTCCAAAATTCTAAACAAACACAAGATCCAGGTCCGGTTCAATACAGTACACAAAATCCGTGATCTGATCCCATCCGTAAAGGATATCATTCCTGACTTACAGTACCCCGGTGTTTACAAATTGAGTTGTACCTGCGGTGACTGCTATATCGGGGAGACGAAGCGACATGTCTCTGACCGAATTCGCGAGCAAAAATCAGATTTGAAACACGGCAGAACGAATTCTTCAGCCGTGGCTGATCGTTGTTTCAACACAGCGGGTTCTCATGACATTGTTTTCTCCGATACCAAAGTACTCTGCAAACCTCCCGGTTATTACCAAAGATTTGTCCATGAAGCCATCCAGATATACAAACATAGACACAACTTCAACCGAGAGGATGGTTTTAAATTGAGCAACCATTGGAAAGATGTCATCAACCAAGTCAAACTTTAGCTGCCTTATAATTGTACAGCCATTTCCATTTCTTCCAGTGGGTTGTACTCGCTTTCGAGCAGCGCGCCATCGCTTCCCCCGAACCCCCTGCAGCATAACAAAAGGCGGCTTAACTTATCCCTCCCCCCACCCATGTCCCTTCCTGGCTCCTCCCCCACCCCCTTAACCTGTCTATAATCTCGGGTGTCTCAGAGCTCTTCAACTGATACAGCTATTTTGCTGTGACTGTTCCACCTGAAGACAGAAGCTTGTGTTGCCTCCGAAACGTCGTGATTTAATTGAGTTGTTTTCATTTATTTTGTTTTACCTACGTGACTTTACCGAAAAAGCCAAAGGGTATATTGTAATCCAGAGTTCGCTGGACCATTCTCCCGGCACGGTAGCTGAAAAAATTGGCAAGTCCCTTCACCCTTTCCTGTTCCGAGATATCTGCAAGTTGCATGGTGGGTCCAGTTTACCGCTGAATCTCGGAACACGCAAGCGTTTAAGTGTTAACTTTATTTACAGCGGCAGTGCCGCTGTTTTTAAAGACATTGTACTCACCACAGAGAACTGTTGGCACCATGTCCGCACTCTATGATAGCTGGCGAAAAAATGTGCCACATGCCCTCCCGCATGGCCTCTTACTTTTGATTCCTTTACGATGACGTACGTGTACGTCATCGGAACAGAATCAAAATACTGATGACGTACACGTACGTCATCGTAATGGGAAAGGGTTAAAGACTGTTCACCCTGTAGCGTCAATCGCCAGGTCACACGTGGTGGGATAAAGTGTAGGTCCTCGCACCTCTTTCTTAAAAGACGTCTGGACAGTGTGGAAGAGTAGGCCTATACACCCTCTGGTCTGGAGGGGCTCTCTAAAGCCAGATGACCTTCTCCAACAGTGGCGTGAGCAAGCAATTTTGGAGGGCTGCAATTTCACCTTCTGATTACCTTTACATCCGTTACATCATTATACATAATACAAGCACAAAACCTAAAGCCTTTTCACTGGACTAACCTTGTCCTGGCTGCACAGCTCAGCATATGGGATGTGAGCTGGTAGGTAGGTGTGCAAAAGCGCGCAGAATGCCAGGCCGTCATTCCAGCTGCTGCTGAAGTTGGTGATATCAATGTTCTGAGAAAGATAAAGGCATGTAATTACGTAAAAGGTAAAAACAAAACACAAGTCACCTCTGTGACCCACAACATTCCAGGTTTGTTCATCGTATGTCTCGGCCACAACAGACTTAATTACAAGACTCCAGTGGCTGTATGCAATTAAGATGGAAAGCAATGAGATGCAATCTATCATAGTGTTAGCTTATGCGATAATTAACAATGTTGAGATTTACACTGCAAAAGGAAGCATTTATCAAGATGCGGAGCCTGCAACTTGCCCGGATGCAATTAGAGTGTGGATTCTCTTCAAAATAAATATTTTCGTATCCCTCGAGCTCGATGTGTCTGCATCATAATGGGATGTCTGGAGCGGCATATTGGCAGTGTTTAGTGCACTGCACTTTCACAAAATGTGAGCTGCATTTTGACGGCAGCCTCAACGTAGAAAGTGTGGAAGCCGAAAAAAAAAACCTAGCCATGAAGGGATGTGACCGTGTCCCAGACAGAAGGGATAACATGCAGCAGTCAAAAAAGGTAGACCCATTCACCCTTTTGTGCGTCAGATCAAGAAATATATAAACGACCATTAAAAAAAGAGGGGGAGACATCCTTTTGTTGAAAGCAACAGGTGTGCTTTGTCGTGCACGCTCAACGCATTTGGAAAGTGATTGCAGGGTTTTGGGGATTCTTTTTCACCTCGTTTGTTACAGCAAAAAACGTTATCGGCGGGATCACCAGCGCTGCTAACTGTCACAGCCGCGTCGTGCGCATCACGTACGATTTGCGTGAAGGAGTGGTCCCTAAGCGAGTTTGCACCTACAAAATCGGCCGATATCGATCTCCATAAAAGCAAACAAATATGATTTGGAGAACTGTAAATGTGGCAGTGCGGTTCCACTTCAATTTGTTCCAACAACAAAAAACGCAACCCATTTAACGCCGTCTCTCCCTGTGAGTGAGCCTTGTTATTCAACCACTTACAGCAGCAATTAACTGGGCGAGGTAGAACGTCATAATGAGGGTCGTTGCTATTAAACAAGCGCGATGTGCACTCACTTAACTTAAATACAGCCCCAGTGTCTAAATGACTTAAGTTGTATCAGTGAAATAGAAATGTATTCATGGTCATTTCTCATTGCAGCTTGGTGTAATTGGATGCTATTTCAGACACGCATGATTAAAACCAACACTGCTGCATACACTTTCCGCCCAACGTTCACAAGAGCCGTTGTGACCACCAACATGTTAATTGCTAATGATTTTGCACGTTTAATTGAGGAAGAAATAAGCTAACGCGTTCAGTTCAAGTGGCGAGTGCTACAAACGTTGTTTTAACTCGGGAACAAAAATACAACTCCAAAGGTTGAACGTGAAGTGCAATTAGTGTGCACTGCAGGAGGCATTTCGGTCAGTAGTTGGGAAGAACGCACGCCGCGATTCGCCAAGAAAAACAAATGTCAGTGTACACGGTGACCCCAATTAAACGTATCGCGAGGAAGCCACTTGGAAAGGTTGAATCTCGGTGCAAGTCAACAGAAAGGGTGCTTCGCTCACACTCACTTGGTAGCCCTCCGTTTTCTTCTGACACCACTTCAGCAAGGCATTGCGTTTGGAACCCCCGTACTCCCTGGCCAACGCCCCAAGAGGGTCCTTCCTCTCCTCACTGACACACCAACACAGTACGGAAACACAGTGGGTAGCTGTTAGAATAGAATGTGTTTTATACATCTCCGATGGGTATATGTCGGCAAAATGGGCTTGCACTTTTGCAAAGTCCTAGTTGTTCTTGCTTTTTATATTCAGGTTTTGACTGACAAGTTGGTTAATTTAGCCAGTTTTCAAAAGGGTACTTCCCAAATACCAACACAGCGATGCATTTAAGTTTGGTTTACATTGCAGACGGACGCAATGGCAGCGAGAGCTAACGCATAAATGCTTTCAACATCGGTTGAAAGAACGTTAAAACACCTCGTTGCATTTCCTTGCGCGAGAGGTGGGTTGGACCTAGCACCTGATGCGGCTGCGTGGGGTGGGGCTGACGGACATTGTGGCCGATCCGCCCGGCAGGCTCAGCTTGGGGGAGACCGAGGTCCCGGGAGGCAGGGTGGCGGACGGCGATGGTGACGTGCCATCCGTTACCATCAGGTCCCGGCCGGACTCATCTGGGCCCCGCCGCAGAACTCCTTTGCAAACAAGACACCGTCACGCCACGAACACTGAGAATCACGGCAAAGGCAGCCGTGGTGTCAATTATTTGTGCGATTATAAAACAATGTTCATAAAAACAATAATATATCTGACAAGGAGCTTTATAGCTCATCGTATTCCTCCAGTATAAATATTCTGATTCTGATATGATGTGACTGCATCTCTAGATGCTGTGAAAAAGAAAAAAGTTGTTTTGCAACCGATGGAGCAAGGGCAAGCAAATAATAAAAGACTGGTCTCTTTATAAAATATTAAACATCAACAATCCACAGCTGGATGAAGGTATCCCCATGCATTGGCAATCCTTTGTGTTAGAAAACAATGGATTGTACTGCTGTGTGAGATATTTGAATGGATTATAAATACTCATCACGTGATATGATACCAATAGCACAATCTGGATAGACTTGGGAGAAAAATGTCTTTGCAAAAATATAAGGAAGAAGGGTTTTCCTTATATATATTTTTTAAATAACACAAGTGCATTCATCATTAGACCTCCTTTGCCAGTACCAAAATGTAATAGGGGTTTTCCCCTTTTTTCTGGCAACAAAACTGAAACCTTTTTACAAGGATGAATGTCTGCATTAACCACAATACCTGCAGTCAAAATGCAAACAAAAAACATACTATGATAATATATGCATTGTCCTTGAAACTGATTGGTCCACACCAAGGGACGGCTTTCTTTTGAGCCTCGACCCAATTGGTGCTCGACCAGATGACGCCAAAAGGCGTCACACAGCTCAAAGACAATGCCACTATCAAAGTAATGAGGGCTCGGGGTGAACATCTACATCATTAGACCTCCTTTGCCAGTACCAAAATGTAATAATAGGGGTTTACCCCTTTTTTATGGCAACAAAACTGAAACCTTTTTACAAGGATTCATGTCTGCATTAACCACAATACCTGCAGTCAAAGGAGGTCTAATGATGTAGATGCTCACCCCGAGCCCTTATTACTTTGATAGTGGCATTGTCTTTGAGCCTTCTGGCGTCATCTGGTCGAGCACCAATTGGGTCGAGGCTCAAAAGAAAGCCGTCCCTTGGTGTGGACCAGTCAGTTTCAAGGACAATGCATATATTATCACAGTATGTTTTTTGTTTGCATTTTGACTGCAGGTATTGTGGTTAATGCAGACATGAATCCTTGTAAAGAGGTTTCAGTTTTGTTGCCAGAAAAAAGGGGAAAACCCCTATTATTACAAGTGCATTCTTTAACAAGAACTAAAATAATCTCTGGCAGCAACGTGTAAGAGCCATGCAGAGCCCAGCTGTAGCCCAAAAGCGCAGGAAGCAAAAACACACGAGTGAGTAGCAGTAGCGGGCAAAGCAGGCGCACCAGCAGAGTCCAGAGCACTCGCCCGACCCAAACCGGTCGTACCTCGACTTGCTGCCGCCCTCATAATCAAGTCGCCTGCGAGACAACGATAAAGGGTGTTCATGAAGGTGACAAAACAGGAGTAACGGACATCTGAAATTTAACTACATTAGGCTAAATGCCCATTGGTCAAACAGTCACTTTCAATTTCAGGTTGAGCAAGCATGAACCGTAAAGGCAATGGTACTTAGCAAGGTCGGCGTGAAACACCACCAAAAGCTCACATTGCTTGGCAAGTGGCATAAAAACGGAAAACTCATGTCGCTGCTCGTACCAGGGTGATTAATCACTGCGGAACCAAGCCGTGCCGCTGCCGTCACGTGTAACGCTTCATCCTGAGACAGACTCTGACGTCTTGTCAGGCCAATAGCTTCACAGTTTGCTTCTGGCTCGGCTAATTGCCATTGGAAAGCCACCCGGCTGGATTGTGCCGGTGGAAAAAATGGGTGAAAGCACACCGAGGCTATCACGAGCGCTGTGGTGATGCCGCTGGGTTGGAAAATCCGTATCCGTGGGGGGTCCAGTGCGAGCGTGGCTCAGTTGTGCCAGAGGAAAAGGAACATCAGGTGTGGGCTGTGATGATGTTTCTACGAGTTGGGAGGGGGTACGGTAACTACCCACCTGTGGTGCTCAGGTCTCCAAAGCTGGGCCGCTTGTCGGTGAGTGCCGATATTGGCTTTGCGGCTGGGGATCCGGGTCCCGCAATCGAGTGTCTCTGCAACAAGACACCAGAAGCAATTGCAGGGCCTGCTTTTGAAACCAATGCGGAGTGACACGAGGTGGCCTGTTTTACCGATATGCTTTTCGTATGAAGGAAAATGGATTTAATGGGCATGGCATGGAGGCATTTAATACTTTTAAATTAAATGTACTGGGGCACTGACTTACGCAAAGTGGAACTGCAGGTGGACTTTTTTGTTTACCTTGTGTTATATAAGAACACTAGCGGGAAATACCCGGCGTTGCCCGGGGGAAAAATATACTTAAACATAGTCGTATCTACTGACTCTACAGTAGTATCTGGCAACTCTACAGTAGTATCTGGCGACTCTACAGTAGTATCTGCCGACTCTACAGTAGTATCAGCCGACTCTACAGTAGTATCTTCCGACTCTACAGTAGTATCTGCCGACTCTACAGTAGTATCTACTGACTGTATAGTAGTAACTACTGACCCTACAGTAGTATATACTGACTGTAGTGGAATCTGTAGTGGAATCTAATGACTGTAGTATTATCTACTGATTATAGCAGTATCTACTGACTCTATAGCAGTAACTGCTGACTCTGCAGTAGTATCGAATGACCATAGTAGTACCTACTGAATATTCTTTGGGTCTTTCGGTAAAGTCACGTAGATAGGTTCAAATAAAATAACAAAAAGCTGCGACGTTTCGATCGCAACACAAGTGGTGTTGCGATGGAAACTTCGTAGCTTTTTGTTATTTAGTCCAACATGGACTGAACCCTGATGTTCCTACTCTGGTTAGGCACTGCCTTACCAACACTTACTTCACCTGGAATGGTACTTTCTACATACAAAATGAAGGTACCCCCATGGGTTCCCCCTTATCACCAGTGATAGCGAATGTTTTCATGGAGAAATTTGAAACAGATGCCATCCAGACATCCACCCTACGTCCTTCCTTGTGGAAGAGGTATGGAGATGACACTTCGTCATTTGGCCACACGGCCTGCCAGCATTGAACCAATTTCTCAACCACATTAATTCCATACACCCATCCATCAAATTCAAAGTGGAGAAGGATGGTAAGCTACCATTCCTGGATGTTTTGTTTAAGAGACCTGATGGCTCATTGGGACACTGTCTACAGGAAAGCCACCCACACAGATTCTTATCTGAAACTTGATTCCCACCACCATCCGGCACAGAAGAATTCCCTCATCAATACACTACACCATAGGGCCCACTGCATTTCTGACCAACACCACCAAGCCAGTGAACTGGAACACGTACACCAGGCCATCAAGATGAATGGGTATTCGGACCGCATTATCCGCAAAGCTGTTTCTCCAACCATGGAGAAACAACCCTCTGAGACGCCAATAAAAACCATCACGTTACCATACATAGCAGGCGTTACAAAAAAGATTTCCAAAATCTTAAGCAAACACAAGATCCAGGTCCGATTCAGTACAGTACACAAAATCCGTGATCTAATCCCATCTGTGAAGGATGTCATTCCTGAAATGCAATATCCTGGAGTCTACAAACTAAGTTGCACCTGTGGTGGGTGTTACAGTGGGGAAACTAAACGACATATCTCGGACCGTGTTCGCGAGCACAAGTCAGATCTGAAACACGGCAGGACTAATACCTCTGCCGTTGCTGACCATTGCTATAACGCTGTGGGCTCTCATGATATTGTTTTTTTCCGAGACCAAGGTACTCTGTAAACCTTCGAGCTACTATCAAAGGTTTGTTCATGAAGCCATCCAGATATATAAACATAGACATAACTTCAACCGAGAAGATGGATACAAATTAAGCAATCATTGGAAGGATGTTATTAACCAGGTAAAACCTTAACTGCTTTATGGTGTTGCCTTCATATCCGCATCTCCAGCCTTCTTCAGCCTCCCACTCCCAGCCCCGCTCACTTCCCCCCCGCCCCCCGGCATTTTGCTGTACTCGCCCTTTGATCCCTTCTAGCAGCGCTTCACTTGGCAGTGCTCCACTCCCCCTACCCCACACCCCCCCTCTCTATCTCTCCTCCCTGGCTCCTCCCCCCTCTCTTACCTATATAGCCTCTTGTCACAGCAGCCCTTTTGCCCACTTCAGCAATTGTTTCTTGCTGTGGTTGTCCCACCTGATGACGGACGCTTGTGTTGCGCCCAAAACTTTGTGATTTATTTTATTTTCTACCTACGTGACTTTACCAAAAGAACCAAAGAGTATGGATCCCTGCAGTTACGAAAACTTCAAATCTAGATTCATATATATATATATCGACTCTATAATACTAACTTCACAGAGTGTAGTGGTGAGGCCTAGTCCCGCGCAGAGCCCCCGGCCTCGCTTCGATTGCCCAGCCGGCCAAGGTGGCACTTTTGCAGGCTGGGGCTGGCCTACTACCCCCCCCCCCCCCTCACCATCCCCCCCGCCCGTTCAACAGTAATAGTATCTAAGGACTATAATAGTAGTGTCTACCGAACCTATAGTAATAAGTGCACACATTGGGGAGAAGAGAACATCACGACTGTGAAGAATTGACCTCAGCGTTGTGTAATTTTTTTTGCCGTTTTTTACGCGAATGAGAATTTCCCCCCCCCCCCACCACCGATCGAGTGTGTGCGTTGCTAGGGCAACCACCACCACCACGGAGCCGGCGTTCTCACGCATGCGCAGATGCGTGCTCTGGCGCCACCCTGTGCTGATGAAAGGGAATAAATTGTTAATTTAACTACAGTAAAAACCTTGTATTGCGAGTAACTTGGTCTGCGAGTGTGTTTTGCAAGACGAGCAACATTTTAAAATAAATATTAATTCGATAAACGAGCGAGGTCTTGCAATGCGAGTAGTACGTGTACGCGTTGTCCGCCAAGCGTCACGTGATGGTATCCGTGTACTTTTCGATATGTAAACCCCACAGTTTGTCAGTTAAAAACGTCTCAAGGTACCCGCGCAGACAGACACGCAGACAGACGAAAAAAAATACGTCTGTAGGTGAGATTAAAATTGGACCCAGCATCGGTGCTTTCTGCAGTTAAACGCAATGCAATTTGCTAAAATGTGACTGCGGTTGCTACATAACCCGTGTCATTGCATGGTGTCATCCAGCCACATCCATAATGCCCAGCCACAATAACTTAATTAAAAACGAGAAAGAGCCCTCCAATGGAGCTCTTGTAAACTTGACAATTAATCGGAGGCAATAGTTATTTTGAGGCAGGCGAAAGACGCCATGGGGACTTTACAAACTAACTGATTTCAGTGGTCGGTTGGCAATTTTTAAACCCCATATAGGTTTAAGTAAAATTGCATTGTTTTTCTTTATTTTCATCAAACGGTTTCATTTAGCTTTGAAAATCTGTAAAATGGTAAGAGGGTTTAAAAATTGGCAGCCTACTGCTGAAATCTGTGCAGTTGGCACGTACGGAATTGCGTTTTTTGTAGAATAAGAAACAATAAGTGCATATAACAAAAACAGAACACTTTTGTCAATAGCACTGGGAAAATGCACTTCTCTCTGCAATAAAGAATGGCCGTTGCCCAAAATGTCACCTATCATATAATTTTTTTCTCTATCGGGCAGTGGAACTGATAAATGTGTTGAGGTTTTTTTCAATTGCGTTTGTACACCGCCACAACTAATTTTTAATGAGGAACAAGACTGAGAGACCACGGTAAGTTGCATGTTACAGCGGGATGGATCGCAGATGCAACGTGCGGTATATAGCTGACAAGAGTGGGTGCGAAAGTACTGGGTGGTCTTTATCGCGACAATAACAAAGGATGATTGCCGACGAACGAGGCAAAGGCGAGACAAGGTTGTGACCGTTCATCGGGGCACGAGAGGTGGTGCCAAGTGGCAGCGCTGTGTTCCGGGCACCTGCATGGGTGAGACGGCAGCAGCAGGTGGCATCTTGACGGGGCTGGGGCTGAGCGGCGTGCGGGGTGAGGTGGGCACGGCACTGGCGGCGCCGCGAGAAACTACGTGAGACGAGACACAGAACGTCAATTACTCGGCACGGGGTGGGAGGAAAAGACGTGGGAACATTGAATTAAAAGCCACCTGCTGAAGATGCCAAAACAACCCTTGACATCATCTGCAAGTACGGGTTCATTGTGTGCAGGTGTTGTAGCTCGAATGATTAAAAAGGCTTCCAAAAGCGTGCCGGTTAGGGTGCCACTCAATACGGGCATGAAAAGGTAAAGTTTCAGTTTTTTTAGATTACACCCTCCTCTTAATTTGTTACTTTTGGTATAAAAGTCAACAGTTCACACCGTCATTCTCATCTGTTGGTATGTATGGGTTGCTCGGGATCTACTCTTCGTATCTGCTTCTATGCCGATACTCTGACTATGTGCATTGACCGTAATGCATTTTTTCAACTCAAGAAACTAGTGAATGCTGAGGGATTGTCTTTAAACTCACAGTGCCCTCAGTTTAACAGGCAGACGAATATAATCAGGAGGCATGGCCTTGAAACCAACATGAATCTTAAGTGGCACCGTAGTCCTCAGTTGTGGGGGTTCTTAACCATACTTCCCCCTGCTGCTAAGTGTGGATTTGGTGACGGGGAGAACCCAGAATGGAATCAAGATATCACTCGCCATTAATGTTCACCATGGTCATGAATAGAATTCAGGTAGTGGGAACAGAGTGCAGTGCACTAACCACTGTGCCACCGGTCCACTTCCAGATAAATTGCAATAACTTAATAACTATGAACGCATTACTGATAAACTGCTTTGTACGTTAGTTTTATATGTAACAGATCTGAGCGTACTGTAACATATGGGTAAATTCGGTCGGAATTCTAATGCAATTTCAAATATATTTATTTGTAAAAACGTAACTGCAATGTGGACCATGTTTTCCACAGAACCCGTACTCAGTGGAGTAAGCAGATTAAATGTGAATTGCACAGAGGTGTATTAATCATTCAATCAGATGTACTGGACAGCAATTTCTAAACCCACAACTCCTACCTACCCAGCCATGCCAACCAATCAGTGGAATAAATAAAGCTTCGAACCTACTTAATATATCAATGACTAAATATTCACATATAAAGAGAATCTCTAAGACTTGACTGGAAGTGTTTTTTAATCAACGCCCCAATGACCACTTGAGTGTGTTAACAAGCAACGGGACAGCGTGAAAATTGCATAGAAAGTACAGCATAAACAAGGCAAGTGCATCATATTCTAGCATTTTCTAATCATGTAGTTTCATGGCATGCTGATAGGTTTGCTGTACAATTTTAAACGCAAAGTAGTGCAATTGCTTTTCAAAAGCTAAACCCGTCCGCACCGCCATGACTTATTTTCATATCAGCCGCAGATGTTATCAATTCACTACATTTCCCTAATGAGCCGCTAGCCATTAAGACTTCAAAGGAGAATATTGGTAGCAGTGGAAAGAACGACTTTGAATGTTTCATCTGGGTTACATATGCATGAGCATCAAGTGAATGCAGTGTGATAATGTACGGCATATGTAGGCCTGCGTGTTATGAAATAGCCCATGTAATGAGATACAAGAGCTACCTCTTAACTCCCGTCATGTGATTACCGGTCGACAAAGTAGGGGGACAGCACTTCTCCAAGCGCTCTACCACTAATGGCCAAGTTAGTTGAATGACGGTTAAAGGCTTACCCACATTTAATGCGACAGTCCTTTGTGTAGTAACTGCTCATTGGGCTGAGACTATCAGACTTATTACACTTGAGAACCCTAATAGCAAGCAGCTGACTAGAATTTAACCCAGGATCTCAGCAGTACACAGTGTTGAACTTATTTCGCAACACACGAAGCTAACCATGCTAATCGGAGGTGCCCGGGGGGGGGGGGGGTGGGGGGGAAGAACAGTACCCGCCTCCTATATATATACACTTAACACAACATCCCATCGTAGCAGCCTTCACCCCGAACAGTAAACCGTAACCCCGAGAACAACGCACGAGGGCACTTGTAGCAACGTGGGTGGGGGACCCGACCTTGAGAGGCGCTGTTGAACGACTTGATGAGCGTCTTGACGGTGGGCGAGGGCTCGGCGGCGAGCGACGACTTGCGGCTGCTCACGACGCTCTGCCTCAGGGCGGCCAGGTCGCGCTCCACCGCTGGGCTGAACTTGAACATGCGGCTCTGCTGCTGCTGGGCCTGCTGCTGGTGCTCCTCCTCTTGCCTGCGCGCGTGCCAAAAACCACACACGCACGGCGATGCTCAAACATCCTGCGCGTGTGCACGAACTCATTCTTCCAGGTGGACGGACCTGGGGTCAACCACATCCGCAATGGAATTGCAAAACGAATCCCGTTAACGTTGCTTGTAATTGTATTTACAACTGCTTCCAGGTAATTTCCATTCATTCAACGGCCGAGGCCCTAAACGCGTAGTGTTCTTCTGCCTTTCCCGACAATTCTAGACGACAAACCAATTCCTTGTCATCTCATTTTTTCCATTTCATTCGTGGAGTTTGTTTAGTTTTTACTAGTGAACTAGCCTATTTGTAAAATTACCATACAATTACGATGTAATTGGCATAAATCTAATATGATAAATTCACAAGAGAGACATTCATGATGAAACGCACATATCGCACGTGAAATAAATCTGTTTCAATTCACAGTTCAATGCCTTGGTATATGCCGACTAGCAATATAGGTGGCAAAATGTGGGTAACTGCTATTCCAACTTTTGTACAGGGCACACGAGCCACTTGTATTGCACCATAAATTAATACCCTTTACGGACCCCCACCCCACTCCACCCTTTAGCCAATAGCCTCCTAAAACTTTGAAATTGTTTGCACGTACACGAGTTTCGACATGCACCGCATCGTGAGTACGTATCCTTCGTCGATCCTGCCTGAATCATATCTTGCAGCGTCTGTAAACAAGGCATATGCCTTTTCATTGTACAGCTGACCATATATTTACAATGCACAACTATAACAGGCACAAGGAACAAAACCGATGTGGTACACGATGTACCACATTCATTCATGTTGGCATACAGCCATATTGACCGTCGACAATATCCGTAGGCAACTATAATGCTAATTGGTTTCATGCTACTTTTTCAATTAATTTTAAACACGTCTCTCGAAAACAACACTGTACCCAGTGGCACACCACGGACTGGATATTACATATTGGATTAACTACATGGGTGAATATTTACTACTGATAAAAAACGAGGGAACAGCAAAGCAGATGCCAATATTTGGCATTTACACATTTGCCACGGCAAGAAGGCAACAGACGGCACAAAGTCTGTACCAAATGGCAACAATTCCAAGCGCTATTAATCTTAATGGAGATGATCTCATGCCTTGTCAGCCCAGCAATAATGATACCATCCATCAGGATGAAAAGTGACAGCCAAACCTCACCAGGCGATTTCCCTCTCTTTTAATTCTCAGTGAGACTCTGCAGCTTTTAAAATGTGGATTGGGTTGTCCATGAAGACGTTAACTCAGTAATACTTATATATACAGGATATTCACATGTACGATGTTAGTCATACATTATCAATCACGTGACCTAACAGCATAGATCTTAAGCATTAGTCAGCAGCGCCAAAACCCCTAACATTAGTTTCTCTCTTATTTTATCACTTTAACTGCAGCTCATGGCTGGGGTTAGTCAATTCAAAATTGTCTTAAAAATAAGAAGAAATATTCTGCACATTATTTACATTACATTTGTTTTTTTTGTTTAAGTGAGTAAGGAGAAACAAACTACAAATGATAAATTGCATTCAATTATAGACAGCTCTCAACAAGACGCACGATACACCGACACCAGTGGGCAGTTAAGAATACATTTAGGACTACACCGATGTCAGCGGGCGAGTTACCAGTCAAATTACTCAATTCGAGTCATAAATGTGGTAAATTTGACGAAAATAAGTTATCGAATTATTTCGCCTACTTCTTCATGGAAGCCCATTGTGTGGTACGTTTGTGGTGGCCTTCGTGCCTGCGGTTCTTGAGCTCCTCGCACTCCATCGACAGCTTATGGTTCCGCTCCTGCTCCTCCTGCAGCTGCCGTTTCAGCTCGTCGATCTCCTCCTGGGCCTCGGCCTTGATCTCGTTGGCTATCACCACGGCCATCTGCAGGTCGGTCTGGAACTGCCGCCACTCTTCCGATTCATCCTGCGTTCACCACGGGTAAGGATGGTGGGAGGTGATGTAGCCGAGCGGTTGCGCGTTTTTCGTCTTTTGCAGAGATTCACAGTACGAGGCCCAGAGGTTGCCCTGGTTAATGCTGCAGGTGTATAAACCATGTAAGGAGACTCTCGATTATCCGCATGCGGTTTATCCAATTTGTGGATTAACCGCGCACCTGAGATTGAAACATAAATGAATAACTTGTGGATTTTCCCTTAAGCCCAAATTGATCATCTAAAAACAAGTTATACATTGTTATTTTTGGAAATGTTTATTACAAGTCACGTGTTTAAACGAATAAAATATGTGGCACGGTTAATCCGAAATCCACGTGATTGTGTCTACAGTACAGTAGTTGCACATCTTTACAACAGTGGGCAGTTTGATTGATTTTGATTGGCGTGGCACTGCTATCCATTTAGTGGGCAGAATCACGGAGCATGTGCATCCATCGGTCGATCGTTAGTATTCGTTCTAAATCAAAAGAGTAACAATCAAAATTGTCAGTTGTGCTTCATTTTGAGCGATTTATCCGACCATTTATTTTATAAGTTTAAAGTTACGAAAACGTGCGATGGCACAAGTTGTTTTAACTTCAAATCAGAAACTGTATATTTTACGTAAATTGGAAGTCAAAATGAATACCTATATTAGTGGTTTTTGGCATAGAGACCAACCGAAAATTTATATTTCTAGATTATCCGCAATTTAGAACTATCCGTGTCATTAGCGCGGATAATCGAGTGTACTTTACAGTGGCTGTCAATACGTGACGCTATTAAAAACGAGGAGGCAAGGAGTATCGGCGTCGTGGTCCAAATTACTTGATTGGGGAAAAACACACGGCAACATGGTCCCCCCCTGATTGTGAAACTACTGCAGAAAATAATTGTCCGAAACAAAGTGCCTTCCTGACAGCCTTGTGCAATCGGAATGATGTGAATACCAAATGTAGGAATTATTTCTTTTATTAAGGGAGGGGGTGGAATAATTTTTGTTGCACTCGAAAGGGTTAATTCCATTCAGTTGCAATTGCGCTGTTAATGGGTTTCTTATAAATCATGCAACCGCTCGGCTGATTCATCAACTGCCCATGAGATGTGAGACATCTCTACTTCAACATACAACTGCAGATACATTAGACCTAATTAGGCGTGCATCTTATGAAATTCTGAAATCAATACGATAGTACAGCCGAAGGAGAAAAGGTCATGTGCAAATGTACCGTGCGGACAATGAAAATATTATTTTGCAAAGAGAAGGATGATTAGATTACCCGCAGCTTGCGTCTGAGGATCTTGATTTCCCGCTCATAGTCGTGCGTTTGGTCCTGCAGCTTTCGAACAGTGCCTAAACAAAGAACAGCAAAGCACACAAAAACAATATAACGAAGCAACAGATTAGAAACTATATTCACCTCTTCTTCATTCCTCAAGATTTCAGTTCAATTATCCTCTTGAAATAACATATACAACACAAGTATTGTCATCGACTTCTATACTCCCAGATCTATGCTCCCCATTGGCCTTCTCCTCTCCCAACCTACAAATGACCAGCCTGAAGTATGGTTAAATATCCACAAAAGTAACCCCCATGATCTGGATGGATTGATAAAGGTTGCACATGTACAGCGATCACAAAGATCACCAAGAAAGTGACGGACAGATGACATTCGGATCAACAAACGCAACAAGACTGGCGGGGAGACAGAGAAATGGAAGATATATGCTGCACACCGCGAACTCTGGAAATGGGGCGGCACTAGCTGATGATGATCGCCACTTCATTGAGCTATCACTTGTGGCCAGGTCGCTTCAGGAAGAGAGCTGTATAGCTCAGTGGGCCTTACCTGCTAAAATAAAAAGTTTAGTTTTAGTTCAGAATGATATGCTACGCGAAGCCTAATTGGGGCAAACACACAACTCCGAATTCCTGAAAAAAATCGTGACCCTCGATCACGCCAATCAAATTCCGCACGCGTGAATTGTCACATGTCTACTTGTCGCACCGGTGACACCAAGGAAAACAACAACATTCCGCATGGTTCACGAATGAGCAGGTCGCAGGGGTAGGGAATACGACGTCTCACCTTCGAGTTCGGAGATAATGAGGTTGTCATGCAGCTTGAGGGCACGGTGTTGCTCCACCTCGTCCTCCAGCTCAAAGATGGTCTCCTTCATGTCGGCAATCTCCGTCTCCTTTTCCTCGAGCTCCCCGCGCAACTTATCCAGCGTGCGCGCCATCTCTGAGCACTGCCGCTTTTCCTCGTTCAGCTCTTCCGACAGCTGCACGCGCCGGACGAAAACGTCAGAGGAAAAATCAGGGGAAGTGTTTCATTTAAACTTTCCCGCAAAATGGGACGTGTTTGAAATTTACTTTGCCGATGATAAAATCACCCACAGACCTTATTAGATCTCATAAGCTAAGCAATGTTTGAGCCTGGATGGTGCTTGAAAAAGCAACCACCATGCACAGCTGTTTGTTGTAGGCCGATGTGAGGTTCTGCTGTCAACAGAGGGCAGTGCCGAAAATTCCATTGTTTGACTGCGCTATGCTCCAATACCTGGGGGCTCCTTGACTTCACCAACCCGTACTGCCCAGCATAGAGAAGTATGGTCAAATAATCCACATGGTTTGCATGGCTTGAGAATGTGTACAATGTGTTGTAACATAGTGTCATACACTATACATTAAAATAAGCCTGGCAGTTATTTCTTACTTAAAAATATGATTTGAAAAATGTTAGTCCTTTCAAAGAAAACTGATTTAAGCTTCATAAGAAAACCAATAAAAGTAATGCAGAATGCAACATGACAGCCGTCTAATGTGTTAGTGTGGAAGTGTTTAAAGATGGTACAACCAGGGAATGCCTGACAATCATTCAACCAAATCAAAGGAAACAAAAAAATGTTGTAACCTACTGCGCATTGCCTAACTGAACCTATGTCATTAAAACCAAACAACATAAGGGAAATAAGTTTACACCTTGCAGAGATACATACCTTTCTGAAATTAATCGTGGATGTACACCGACAACTAAGCGTACTAAATTAACAATCAAGCGCAAACAACAAACGGAATGACAAATTCGACGCAACTCAGCCATCTCCCTCTGCCCAATGACAACGCGAACCTTTTCGATTTCGGTCTGCAGCTTGTGACCCTCGGCCTGGCTGTGCTCCAGCTCCTCCTGCACGTTGGCGCACATGCTCTCCAGGCGCTCCTTGTCGGCCCGCGCCGAGTCGAGGAGGACGCACAGGTCCAGGTCTTCTCCCGCGTTGTGCAGCGAGTACAGCTCGGCCAGACGCCGCCTCTCCTCGTCCAGGTGTCCCTTGAGGCGGGCGGACTCCTGCTTGCCGGACGTCACCGCCGCCTGGTAGTCTTCCAGGGATGCTGCCAGCAGCGCCTTGCTCTTCTGCTCCGCCTCCAAAAGCCGCTCCAGATGCCGGTTTCGCTCCTGCGTCGCCACCACGGTGAGGAAAGGAGATGTGGGGGTTTTTTCACGAGCACGCAAGCACAAGCAAAAAAACGTACGCAAGAGCTACGGCCACGGTCTCCGACGTAATCCCACACAGGTGCGAGACGTGGGCACACACAAAAAGGAACGTGCGCAGATTTGGCGCGTCAACGCCATGGCAATCTTTCAAGCAAACCACGCACGCAAACGGATGTAACGCCAAACCAAAGATTCAACTGCCAGGAGCATTGCGCAAGATCCCACACCACGCTATTGAAATTCACCGAATATTTTAAAGCGCGGTAAAGCGGGCACGGGTTGGGCACCAGACCTTGAGGTTCTGTATGATGCTCTCCGCCTCGGCGTGCTCGTTCTCTGCCGCATGTAGCGCCGCCGTGAGCCTCTGCTGGACCCCCAGCAGCTGCTCCTGCTCTATCTGCGCGCTCTCTGCCAGCTGCAGGTAGCCCCTCTCGAGCTCCTGCACTCGCCCGTCGCTCTTCAGCCCCAGCGCGTCTCCCGCCGCGCCGCCGCACGCGCCCATGTCGCCGGCCTGCAACGGCGGCATGGCACCGCCATCCTGGGCCAGCATGGCGCGGTAGCAGTCAGCCTGGCGCGACAGCTCGTCCAGGCGCTCGCCCTGTTGGCACAGCGTCTCGAGCAGCAGGGCGCGCTCCTCGCTCAGTCGCTCGTTCTCGTTGCTCAGCTCCTGCGCCACCTGTCGCCGACGGGGATGCCGGTCATGGTGTTTGGTTGACATAATAGGCACGTAACAATGCATCGATTTTTATTGATTTTCACGCTTTTACTTTTGTGCGGCGCAGTGACTAGCAAATTAAAGACCGATTTACGCATGAAGGAATAAACTACATTCCAATTCTCACATGACGTACTTGGTCACATTACTCTTGCACCTACTGAAAAGGCGTGCACGGAGTACCACACTACTTGAACCAAAGTTCAAACCCTTTCGATTATTTTAATCGTGAGGATGGTCGATCGCGACATGCGATCGATTAAATTAAAAACACATGGAAAACACGTATTATTTACGGAAGACCCCATATGATACATTAAAATAAGACAGTGTTAGCTGAATGCAAAGAACTGCAATCGGCTAATTAGCCCACAAGATTTACGTTTTATTGCCCACGAATACATTTAGCAAGTAGGGAGCATTTATTGTCCCCACGTAAATTGACGTTGCTTTCCGCCAAAACAATTCACAAATTAATCACATTAATGGAAGCTGAGAAAGCAAAAAGGCTCTGTAGGAATGCACACGCACACACACACACCTGTTGCAGATCCTGCAGCTCCTGCAGCGTGGCCTGCAGCTCCTCCGATGTGCTGTGCTGGTTCTCCTCCATCTGGTGGATCTTCTCCGTCAGGCACGCCACCGACACCTCACTCGTCCCGGTCGCCCCTCCGACACCGGCCTTGCCAACTGCCTGCACCGCCCGCGGCTGCCCGCACTCCGGCCGCAGCTCCGACTCCGGCTCCGGCTCTCGCTCCACGTCCGGGGCAGGTGTGGGTCCACCCTCCGACTCGGACGAGGCGTCGAGAGCGTCGTCGCTCGACGTGGCGCCCCCATACGGCGGCAGCTCGCTCGACTCGCTGTCCAGGTTGTCCACCGAGTTGCTGAGCGGCTGAGACTCCCCCAGCGTGCAGCAGCTGCTGCCATCCTGGCTCAGCAGGTCCTCCAGAGAGCCACGCGACGAGCCCTCGCGGGACGACGCCGACGCCGGTAGCGGGTCGATACCGCCGCACATGCCCAGACTCTGCAGCCGCTCAGAGTGGTGCTGCTGCAGGTGCTGCTGCTGCTCCAGTGAGAAGCCCAGTGCATTCAGACGGTCCTTCAGCATGCGGTTTTCGCTCTTCAGCTGGCTCAGCTCCCCGCGGATGGCACGATTCTGCTCCATCAGCTGGCCCAGTGCCGCCTCCACATCGCATGAGATGCCCTGCGCTGCAGGCGCCTGAGTCGGCTCCGGCTCCACCTCAGCTTCCACCTCTGCTTCTACCTCCACCTCAGGCTCAGGCTCTGCCTCGAGCTCTTCCTCCATGCCAAGCTGTGCCTTCATGGCACGTAGCTGCCCCTTCAGCTGGCCGATCTCCGAGTCCTTGCTCTCGGCTAACGCTAGCAATGCCTTCACCCGCGCCTCCAGCGCCGCCTGCTCGCCGCTGCCACCTTGGACGTGCCCGTCCGTTGCGGCCGTCCGGGTCCGCCCGCCACCGCCGGGCCGCGTAGCATCGCCCGTGTCAGTGAGGCGGCTGCGCGACGGACGCCGTGAGGCCACATGCTCACTCGTGCTGGGCCCAGACGATGAAGACGATGACGCAGGCCCCGATGAGGATTTCTTGCTCGTCCCCTGGCGCAGGCGATCCTTTGCCTTGTCGCGGGACGCCGACGCCGAGTCCTTGGAGGCGGCGGCACGCTTTGCCGCTGTGCTCATGCCTACGGTGGAACGGCGCCCACCGATTACAGCAGCAAATTACGGAGCAAGACTGGGAACTGAACGTTTAGAGACTACGTTGGTGCAATGCAATACTGCCGTAGGCTTTCGTGGTTGTGCTGTGTAGCCCTCCGGTGTGTTTTGGGGTTGTGTCGTGTGTCGTTCAGCACGATATTAAACGTTTCGCTACACATGTTGGCAGATTCCATTACAGAAGCTCCACGCGATGTTAGCCAATTCAGGAAACGAATGGATCCGAAGAACTGAATTGTTTCTGTAACAGCTCCGGGCACGTGAAGCAATATGTTACGCATCATGCTTAACAACATTTGGTCTAATTTGAAAACAAAAATAACTTTAGTCTCCCTTGCCAAAGAGATGACTATCTTGATAAGCTATTAATTGTAATCTGTATTCTCAGTTTATGTTACACATTGAAAAAGGTGTGATTTTGGCTGCAACGAATTCATGTTTTATGGTGTAATACATCAATTATTCGGAAATTATTGGAATCAACTAATAAAGCTTTTACATTCAACAACACGGCCTTAAACGGAAACAATACATCATAGATGATATTCCGGGCAACGGCCCGTCTTCATGGCACATAACTAGAGAGGCCAGTCAGATAAGAATGTATAACTTGGAGATGACACTAGCGAGTTGGAGACTGCAATAAACAGAATCGGAACATGTATTAATACTGGAGGAATGCAATGAGCTATAAAGCTCTTTTTCACAGATGTACAGTATTTTCACAGATGTCCAGTAAAACCATTGGACTGGCAACAAGTACATTTTTTAAAATGTTTCCTAATTAACGGCTTTATAATGAACGGTTACACTATTTCAGTCATAAGAAGCACTCGTACATGAGACTTTGTAGCGAACGGAAAACAGACAATACATTTTTAACTCAAGCAGTGTCGTAAAAACAGGTTCGACAGTAAAAGTAAAACAGTAATGCTTTTCAAAATACATTACAATGACAACGTAAGAGTACGTGAACACGTGAAGCAACCGAAAAAGCATTTTAAAAAATCTCATACCTCTGCAAGAAATGCACCACATATCTGACGAGACTCTGCGGCACGAAACAGCAAAAGATTTCTTCTCTCTGTTTCTGCCGAGGCTGTTGTCGTTATGTTGAACACAAATTAAAACTTCCTGAGAGACCTCAAGGCGTAGGAGGCTATTGTCTTGCGCGCTGACACAAAAAAACTCCGCTTTAAGCTCTCAACAATGTACAGCCCTGGCTCTAAGAATGACAAAAAGCATTCTAAACCAGGTAACACAGATCAATACACCTTTTATTCACCACAGCCCAAGCTTCCTTAAACCGTGAGTCACACACGTTCCCACAAGTAGGTGGTTGTTAAGAGTTATCATCACAAGGAGAGGATGTCGCGTGTATTATCTGGTGCAAGGCGGAAACGCGTCCTTGGGCTCATCATTTTGAAGGTATGCAGAACCCCAAGCCATTTTTAGATATTATTTAACCCTTTCAACAGCTGACATTATACCCTACACAAAGTTATGCCCATTCTTTCAAGAAACCGCAAAGAAAGAAATGTTAATCCCAACAACGCTTCTCGGTTTAAAAGTTCAAATGAATTATCATAACTGGATTATTGTTTTAAAGTTAGTTTGTTTTTCCTGGGAAATGCTACTTAGTTGATACATATAGTTATAGATTAATAATTATAATTGGAATTCCTTTTCCACTGTGTATAAACTCACAGAAGAAAAAAACTATTAAAATGTAAAAGGCATATTTTGGACAGCAGGAGGGTTAAGCTGTCTAGCACATGTAGCACACTGCTATTAGGCAGACTACCCTCAGGCTGAACACCACCTCATACCTAACTCATGCGTAGACAGACATTGGTCATTACACCTGTCACGCTGACATGGGTGAGCGAGGCACTTTTGTAAATGACTGCCCAACTGGCTCAGACCAACGCCTAGAGAATTACCCAACTTGTTACAGGAAAACAGATGACACAGACGATTCTCCATATTGTCAAATCACTACCCTAATGACTATCAAGTACAACCTCAACAACTTATACAAATGGGGAGTTTTGTAAAAAAAAATCCTAACAGGACATTAAAAACTCACCTTGCTTCCTCCACCGGCCTCTGTTGTTCTGTGTAACCCGGTATCGAGACGGATCCCGCTTTGTGTAGAGAGTACGCCCTCCCTTGCACGGCACACTGGCCCCATTGTGTCTTCGGAGACTCTAATCACTCCCACATTGTTTGTGCAGGCTAACTGAGCTAATTTGTAATGCAAAGCCATTATGTGGAAGAAAAAAATCGGGTTGCATACTGTACGTCTCAGTGTGGTCCCACCCCTCTGTAAATAATAAATGAATGTTTTTATAAGCCCATTGTTTTCTTCAAAAAGGGCATCTGCCCCTGTTTGACAATTTATACGCAGGTGGCGTACAAGAGGCCTACGTTGCTATGGGATATTTAATTTCCTTATGCAATCCTCCTGGGAACTGTCCAACACAGATTGTAACCAAGTAGCCCCAAATCACTACATGGCAACAACTCTCTCCAATTTCAAATCGTCAACCATTCGACTGCTGGTATCTTTACTAATTTACAGTGGGGAAACTCTTTTGTTATGTACCACTGCGTAGGTTTTCGTGGTTGTACCGTATAGCTATCAGATGTCTTTTTTTGTACTGAGTGTTGTTTGGCACGATGTCTGACGTTTTGCTAAGCCACGTGCTGGCAGCTGCTTCTGGAAAATGAATTTCAGTTTTTTTTTTATTCCTCCATAATTTCTATTTTCTTCATTTATTTCATAATATCGCTTTTTTCATTTTTCGTGACACAGTTCACTCTTGCAAATGAGAATATCCTGGTCTCTTGAGTTCTCACCTGGTTAAACCAATAAACTTAACACGCTCAAGCCTTCCTCTTTTTACAAATGTAAACATCAGTGGTAACTTTTACGTTAAACAAAAAAAAACCGCCACAGCGATGGAAGTGAGCGGCGCCCTGGCCGCAGGCCTCCCCCTGGGAAGGCCGTGCAGCTGCTCACTTCCTGCCGAGCAAGCAGCACAATAACAGGGAGTGAAGCTCTTCCACACGAACGCCCGATGCTAGAGGGGCGGGAGGGAGGGATCGGCTGCCTGGGCTGCCTGTTTGCACAGATGCATTCCGCGAGACTGAGGTCGCACGGCAGCTATATGCGGCATAACGTCAACAGCTCACTGCTGGTGTTCCGATGAAAAGAAAAAAAAAATTGTGAAAATATAATAAATTTGCTCCATGGAGAAACCATTCTGCTGCCAAGGTTAATAGTTCAAGGTTAGTTATTTCGATTTATGCTACGTATACTTCAACCCGTGTAGCTTTGTGCGCGGCTAGAAACAAACAGCTTTCTGCACTAACGTTGCATGTGTTTATCAGGATGATACATAGTTATTTTGAATATAGATCTACGATATACATGGTTCATATCACACTATCTTAATCAAGATGCAGCATGTCCTTCTGAGCAGCTGTGTCAATATGGAGCATTTGTGTAATCGTGCAAAATTACAGCATGTTGGGATTATTATTTATTTGAAAATAAACACAAATGTTTCTATCATGATTATTCATTATTGGAACCATACTCAAAACACCAGAAACTTTTCATTTTTGATAGCTACAATTTTCAATAATATTGACGCAAAAAATTCAAGCAAACCTTTTTGGTCTGCAAGCACCGACCAAACTAAATGTGAACAAAGCTATCTGCAACATATGATGGAAATGTTTCAAGAGCTCTGCCATTGTGACGGATGCTGAAACCAGCTGGCAGCGCAATTAGGAATGCCCATTTCACTCCTTATTACTGCACGTCATTGTCATTTTGTCAAAGAAAACAGCTGTAGTGGAGGATACCGCATTTATGGATCACTGGATTTTTTTTTTTAAAGAGCAGCAAAACACTCTACTATAAGAGACAAGAGATATAGAGGGATAGACAACATAAAGGATTGGTGCCAGAAAGATGTGCACGACTTGAGCATATTGGCACAAGACAGAGGAAATTGGAAACAAATGATGAACTGTGCAGTTTGACACCTTCGATTTATCTGCCCATGGATCGTGATGATTATGATACGTCCATATACATTCCTTTTGTCAATCCACTGCTAGATGAGGACCTACCCACACCGTGTGGGTCACGGCAGTTATTTTACCATACTTCATTATCTTGGTCAGTGCAGGTTGGTGAAGACCTGGAGCGTGGGTAGTATAAATGATTAAACATAGTACAGCACTGCCCTCTACTGCTCACAACATAGCTCCGCAGAAGCCTATAGCAATCTGTTGTGCATAGCGGTCACCCATCCAAGCACTATTGAGACCCAATCCTGCTTAGCTTCCAGGTGCTAACAAGATCGGACACATTCCGGGTGATGCGCTCAATGGCAAATTTGGTTAGAGGCAAAATTAAAGAGATACAGTAAACAGGATGAATAGCCTTACCCGTGGTGGCTTTAGCTTTCTGGTCTGTGATGCTGGCCGAGGGCACCGAGTGTTTCCTTGCTGGAGCTGCACAGCCCTGGGCGGCCGCACTGCTGCCGCTGCCGCCCAGCAGGTCATCCCTGCTCTGGCTCTGCACACACATGCACGCACACACGCATAACACACACACGTGAACAAATGCACACGCGCACGCACGCACACGCCCGCAGGTCCCACGAAAAAAAGGCTTCTTAAGCACTAGGCCAACAGCCAAAACACATTCATTACTTTTAAAGTACATTCCTGTATTACAAAAGAAAACTATTTTTATTTTTACCACATATCCATTGCCACCAGCCAAAGCGTAACTTTTATTCATAGTTGACAATTTCTCTCTGTTGTTTCGAGCACTGTACTACAATAACACATGGGAAAATTACTGTGATACAACTGGTAGGTGTACGGAGTGCAGAGTGCCGTTGCTTTTTAGAATGCTGCTAACAGTAAAAGGAACCAGGTTGCCATGGTTTAGAGTTACGAGGTGCTAAACAACGACTTGGCACACTGCAACAGTGTTCAATTGATTGGAGAAGGCAAAGACAACAGCAATGCCAAGGTGTCTTAAGTTTTCCATGCAGCTTATTCCAATGGCAAATGTACACACACACACTGCACTTATTCTGACAAGACTGGCTACATTCTCGTGTGTTGTGCACCGGCATCTTCACAAGAAGTCTGTGAGTTTTAGCGAGGTTCCAACTACATTCAAGGAGTTTCCAAATGCCTTTCGCGGAGCGAAAGCATGTAAAACTACACATTAAAATTCCAAGATAAACATAAAATAACTCTAAAAATTACTAAACGTGTCAAAAAAATGTTTGATCAACGAGTAAGAACAATATTTAATCACGAGGAACCAAACCTGTAACACCAACAATGTGATGTTTTGCTATTCATATTGAAAAGTCAAAAGTAATAATAGCTTATATTTATTCTGTGGCTCATGAATAAATGTCATTTATTTACCCAGGAAAGCCTCCATTGAGTCTTTACACGTTTTTGGGAGGATTCTGCAATGGAACATTTGACCAATTCCTTTTGTGACGAGCGTTTTGCATGCGGAAGGAAATCGAGTTCCTTAGAGAAAACAACAGAGGAATGGATACTACTCAACGGACCACAAACGTGGAATAGCTGTACTGCCATCTACAGGCTACCTTGCAGTGTAGCAGGTTCAGAAGTTTGGCAAATCTCCTGGACCCACAAACCCTTGCTTCTAAAGCTCTGCATTACATGCATAACCATACAGTGCATATATTAAGTGTCTTAAAGTTTATAACACTACCATCATTAAGCAATACCATTACTTGTGGTCTTGGTATCACTTTGTAGAGACCAACAGAAGAAATGTAACATATGTGACAAAAGTAATATGACACTACTTGTATGACCAAATCACCCTAATTCTCGTAAGATCTCGGAAACTCGTGATGATTATTGAGGATGGTTAGTACTTTGATGGGAGAGGTGACCACGAGGGCTTGAGAGGAGTTACATGCGTGGGGCTGTGAGTGGGTTGGGAGATGGCAGTGTTGAGGCGGTACTCCTCCTAAGCGTCGATTTACTCGAGGCAGTTCGTATTCCTCCCCTCATGTAAAATACTCATGAATGCACATGGACAAACATCCAAAAGCAAGACCCTCTTAAAAAAAAAATCCTGAGTCACAGTGAGGCTTTCATTAGTACTTTAAACAAATCTACAATCTGTGTAATGTACTCAGTGAGGCTATCTATACCGTGTAAAGAATGTATTTTGTTGTCATAACTTTTGCTAGTATTCATAATAAGTTTACGGTGAAAGCGGTAGCATGAATGATATTTCATTGACCTTGTGAAAAATGTTTTACCATTAAATCACGTGATGTGACCCAAGCCAGGCGGCACTCTTTCCACCACACACACACACAATGGGGGCGAACGGGCACGGTGCACAGCTACCTTGGTAAGTCCCGACATGCCGCTGCTTCCCGCAGAGGCCTTGGCTGCCTTGATGCCGCCGTGCCCGTGCGAGGGCACAGGGGCACGCTCCACGTTGCCGCCGGCACTGCCGTGCGGAGGCCCTTTAGTGGGCCCCGACGGAGGGGCGGCCGCGCTCGGTGGTCTGCTTGTCTTCTTCATCGTGGGCTCCGGGCGGCCGCGGCATTTACACGCGCCGCTGCGGGGACACGCACACGGAACATCCACTTAGCGCTCAGTCCGTCCTGTGTCACCGACACATCGGGCAACCCAATGCCTCCACTGCTCAAGCGTAAGTGTTGAGTTTTGATATGAGCAACGCTTATAAATGGTCTTCCTAGTTCATACGTGTAGATGGGTATAATGCAACATATATAGCGAGTTTTTAATTAACTTCTATCTGAAACGGTCCTGGGCAATGTACCCCTTCAATAACCTGTGTTGACTTGCCGTGAAGTATGATATAACAACCCCCATGACTGAATTGGCATGGGAGGCCTTCATCCAAATGTGGCTTGGAAAAGGGATGTATGTTAAGCACTGTTGATTTGATCATTTGTTTGGATATTTATATAATTGTGCATTCTTAAAAAAATCCCAACTGACTCACAACCAAAAGAAAAACATAATTTTCTTTGATATTTTTAGAATAACTTAATAAAATGCAGCGAATTAGACAAAATGAGAAATATAATTGAAGTCACAAATGTTACCCAATCATAGACAGCTCAAATCAAGGAAATGTGAAAACAACACATTTAATCAGTGTCCGACACCAGTTGTCTTCTCAGAATTTTTTTTAAACAATTCCATTTTGGAAAATGGTTAGCTACTCAACTACATGAAAATAAAATGTAAATTTTAAAAAGTTGAGTAACTTTTACTTCTTAAAAAAAATCCCAGTGACAGTCACGAAATTTTCTTGTATTAACCATTTTCTTTTTATTATAAACACAGATTGCTCGAAATGTATACAGCGAGTGCTTATATGGGTCGGCCGCAACACAAGCCAACGTCAGCCCGTGGGCGGTCACTGGTCAATTTGAGGACATTCGGTCAAGGGATTACAACATTTATCTGCCATCTACAGCACAATTTGGGTATAACAAACAGCTAAATTAGTACAAACAGGCTACTTCCCGTATAAGAGCAATTATGTTCATACATACAATGAAGAATATAAAAATAATAACTTATGGTCCAATCCCTTGGAAATCCACTAACTGATGCCTCACCACGCTGGTCAGTGTGGGGTGGTGAAGGGAACCCAGGATCAGTTCATATTTTACTTGCCAGTGATACATCATGGTAAAGTTTTTTGTTTATATATACTGTGAACCGCTACTTAAAAAGAGAACTGGCCACACAAACCTAATGCAAAACCCTCCTGAAAATTAGCCTCGAGTCTTTGTAAAGCTCTCCTAGTATAACAAAAATAATTTACACAATCCGCAACATGCACTTATTGAACTTCAGCAGAGTGCAATAAAATTGTATCACTGTACACAGTGACTAAACCGACACGGGTATGATTACTGCTTAAAAGATGCAAGGGGGCAAAGGGGCGTTATTACTCACAAACACTCAAATGCTGCGGTCACATTTCAAAAACCGGTCACGTTTCAAAAACCGCAAAAATTTAAAAGAATGGGTAGTATCGGCACAGGTAGAGTGCTGTCAGGTGAAGAAGGTATGGTCGGCATGCTTTTTAAAATCCGGTGTTGGCTTTCATGGGCGTGTCGGCCGCGTTAACAGTTGGACCCGATTCAACGGGGAAAGTTCTATCCACATTTTGATTTAAAGCTTTCGTGACTGCAGGGATTCATATTCTTGGTCCTTTCGGTAAAGTCACGCAGAAGGGAAACAATAAAAATATAAAACAATAAAATTCTCACGACGTTTCGGCTGCAGCACAAAAAAACGCCACTTTTTTCAAATGTTCTTGCTGTGGTTTTCACACCTGATGATGATTGCTGCTTGTGTTGCAGTCGAAACGTCGTGAGAATTTTATTGTATTATATTTTTATTATTTTATTGTTTCCCTTCTACGTGACTTTACCGAAATAACTAAGAATATACTATCTACATGTAGCGATTGCGTGTGCAAGGACAGAAATGAATATACATGGATTATGACGACCCAGTTTCCTTTTGAATTCATCTACCTCTCAACGAACAAATTCCATAGTATTATTTGCAAGCACTGCGGCAAGATTCAAGGCAGACAAACCCGATTCAGTTGGGAAAGCAATAACTGTTTGCCCAATTGCGTGTGGCAAAAACCGAGAAATAAATATGCAGAGAACACGTTTGTTTGTTTCTTCCTCCAAATCACCGGGACTACCTCCCATTGAAAGGTCTCATCTTTTTTTTCTACTTTAAAGCACTGCAGCGACATCTAAACTACAGAATATGTTACATCTAAAGACAAGATAACAATTTGGACAAGGAAATTGAGACTTAAAGAAAATATGCAAGAGACGAGTCCAGTGGTTTGGACACGTGTCTGGAATGGATCAGGAAAGCATATAAAACATTACAAAAACAAATGGGGCTTTGTAAATGATAGAATGGAAAAATGCGCCGGACTGACACAGTGAAGATTTATTTCAAACCAAGAGGGTGACAAGTCCAGGAAGCCGTTAGGCTGTTGAGAAAAAAAAGGAGGTGAAAAAGGTATCATTCAACCCCGTTGTCTATAAAAGGCAGAAAGGAATTTTAAACGTAAAAGACACTGCGTGCCCTTCAAGTGTCCCGTCTAAAAACCATCGGTGAGAAAGTGCTTAAGGCAAAGTGAAGGGGAAGGAAAAATAAGTCATCAAGTTAAGAAAACTCCCAACAGGATGTCACTAATTCTAAGAGGCAGCACAGTTAAAAGTTTAATCGTAAATATATATAATGAGGGAACAGAGGAAACATCATGGTACTGCATTGCCAGTGGTGTGCAGGCCACAACAAAAAATGGTTTCTAATTCACTTTTAATCTAAGTAACG